TGATATACTAATCCTTTTATACACGCCCAACAAAATGTCTCACTTTTTGATAAGCACAATCTCATTGTTTTACTGTTTTACCATTGAAAATATTATAATTAACATTACCTATCGACGTCATTAGTTTATTTGGCATTGTAACATGCGCCAAACCGTTGCACACACGTAGAATAAAATTTTGTGCGTTTAGAGGATTTCGCGAAATCGCATGCAATTTCGGCAAAATCGGTAAACGTTTTCAACAAATTCCGATTGTCGTACAATACTTTTTTTACTATTTAGCAACAATTCATATTAGGCTAACATGAGGTTGAGGCGTATTGTATGCGCGTTTGTGTACAACATTTAAAATTATCAATACATTCAGTGACTCGTCGTTGATACGGAGATCAGATTTTATCAGTTTAGCGTCTGTGTAAACGATTTGAATGTATAACGAGAGCGTACGAGATAATGAGAATTGAGTACTTGAAGAGAACTAAGATTTCTATTAAAAGAATTTTGGTTTCAATGTTTTTTAACAATTTTTTTGTAGTATAATAAAAATTATAAATTTTGTGATGTAACACGCAATTAATAAGTCAATTGCATTAAATTTATTGCAAATATTTCAAATAACATTGTCACGGTGGTTATTTTAGAAAATTCGGTCAACCGCAAAACAATAAAATTGTATGGTATTGCTAAAGATGACTGCACTATTTAATAGTTTCAAAAGAAGTTACTTAACTGCAAATAAATATATCCAATTAGATTTAATGATTTTTGATTTCTTAACTTTGTTGTTTTAAGGTGATTTGACCTGAATTTCAGTTATATTTTAACAAACTTGAATACCAAAACATGTATTGTAAATGAACCTATCCTATGTATAAAATAATTTTTCTTAAGTTAATCAACCGTAACACAGTAATCGCAGAGTTAGTACAACTTTGACAGCAGCAACTACAACTCTTGCAGAGATAGTAAATATTTCTGCTTGTTAATAGATTTGTGTTGAGAATCAGATTCTGATAGTGATGGAAATGTGTTTTACCCAGTCAAATTGGCAATAAAAAATTCACTGCTTTAGATTGAACGATGATCAGTTCAATGAAATGTATGACTTTATGAGGAGCAAAATTGATAGGAAGGGATGCGACACTATATCTTTAAGGTAAGCCATTATACGTAATACATTTTTTTACTCCACTTGTCCTGACCCTACTTAGATCATTTCAACTAATTTTGTAAGCTAACTTTGCTTGTTCTTTTGAAATGATCATATTTGGTTTAAATTTGGCATTCTACCTGAGTTAGAGTTAATTAAATGTTTTCAGAAAATATTAGTCAATTGGCGGAAAGATTCTTGTTCAAACCACTGGACCATAAGTTAGCATCGGTCGAATTAAGGTCACATAGATTCAAAGGGCTATTTTAGAAGACAAACCTCAAGTCGTCTTAATACCCTCGCTCCGATAATGGCTCTTGCACAGATCAGATATAGCACAAGCCTTATTCATTCTTATCTCCAGATGAACTTACCACGTTAACTTATTGTCTATTATTAAACCCAAGTACTTAACTTCCGCAAACAGTTTAAGTGAAGCATTGGCGAGCTTTAGCAACTTAAAACAATCTATATTACGCATTTTCGTAAAAAGTACTATTTCCATTTTCATGTGGTTCATTACACCCATCTTAATTAGATTAAGTGTTGTTAAGGGTTTAGTAACAAACTAGCTTTTTATAAGAATTGTCAAGTCATTTGTCAACCAACGGTTTTTCAATCGAATAATAAAGTTTCCCATTCATTATGGTACATCGCCAACAAAACTGGCGGAAGTATGGATAGGATGTACTTGCCCTGGGTTACTATATGCTGATTTAAGTCTAATGGTCTACTTTATAGATAATGTAGCGATCGAATAGTTTTTCTAACGATTTCGAAAAGTAACTAATCATTCGGAAAAACCATTTTTGGTTGAACTAAAAAAATTTCTCCGTATGCGATGAGAACGCTATGTTGACTTAGCTCTTTCCTTTTTGGCCGATAATTTTGATCAATAAACATTCATTTTCGGTAATTATATAGCTCTATATATACATATGTATGTATTTAACAGAATTAAATAGTTACGAAATTGACCGAACCTGAATATCTAACAGTAGTTAGAGGCTAGAGGCTAGGCTAAAGAGGCTTTAGCTAGAACATCTTCGACGTATACCGTCTAAAGAGACACAGGTTGATTATCTTAGTAAACCATACAAAATGAATTAGTAGGTTTATTGGCACAAATGACTAAAAAGAAAATTATACAAATGGAAAAAAAGCCGAATTTTTTTTCTGTAATCATGGAAACAAGTCCCGATATCAGCCACAAAGAACTACGAATCAAAGAATACGTATTTGGTGGAAGAACATTTTATTGATGTAACTGACACTATTGGTCAGTCTGGCATTTATATTTTTAGACACAAAGTAAAAGTACTAGGTTTAGACATTTACAACTGTAGAGGACAGGGCTACGACAGTGGAGCCAATATGAAAGGTAAGAATAACGGACTACAAAAACATATTTCAAATATAAATCCGAAAGCGGTATTTGTTCCTTAACCTTGTTTTAAATGATGCTGCAGAATCAAATATAGAAGTGGTCAATTTTTTTGTAATAATACAAAGCTTGTATAATTTTTTTTCTGCATCCACTTATAGATGGTCTATTCTTGTCAAACATCTGACTAATTTAACATTAAAACCTGTATGTTCTACGAGATGGAAAAGTAGGATAAATGCGATTAGGCCCGTTAGATTTTTGTCCCGTCACTTTTTGATATTGTAGAAGACACGTCCTTGCTGGGTTCTCATGAAAATAATACTAAAGTAGAAGCAAGCCATATATTAGAAAAGTTTAATTATCAGGCCATATGCATTACAATAATTTGATTACAAAGCCCAAAATGTACGGTTTGTGCAGAAGTTGAAACAACTGAACAGCTTGCAAATAATCTAAAATAAATAAGAAGTGACGAAGAGTATCAAAAATTGTTAGTTACAACGTCTGACCTTCAAATTCTGCAAATTCAATAAACGTACAACCAAACTTTATAGAAATCAGAACGCATTTTCAATAATGAAAGTTTTGACAACCCAATACAAGGTCCGTTACAAAAATTTAAAGTTAATGTATATTTTAATTTACTTAAAATAGCGATTCATTCAATAGAGGACCGTTTTCAACATACATACATTCGGATTTTTGCACAATCTTGCCGACCTAAGAAATTGGGAAAAAGAGGACGTCATAAAGCAAAATATGAATTTGTTGAGTATTATTTCAAAACTTTTAAACCCAGGTGATACACCTTATTTATTTGAAAATTCAAAAAGTAGTGTATAATTTTGTCGGATATTTGGCGTCTTTCAACTAAACTGTCTTTAAAAGACTGTACTGTACGCGCAATTCCTTCAGATTATTGATATTTGACAAGGTTGAATAACTTTTTAACTGCACCCAGCGAGAAAATGGTGAAAAAAGGTTTAACAGAATTGTTAAACAATCTCTTTGTTCTTCCTAATACCATAATTATAAATACGTTTTATCTATTGTTCTGCTTGATTTACTATAGTATAGTAATTAAAGTTTTATTGATATAGGTTCGTATAAAAAGAGTGTTAATATCCAAACCAAAAATAAAAGCCTTAATAATAATAGCAGCGTCTTCGGTTATAGAAGAAATGTTTTAAGAGATTATTTAAAGAAAATAATTTAAAAAATGTTAAAGAAAGGTAAAATGATACTTGTCAAATGCAAGTGAACGACCTTATTTACAAAAAAAACCATTCGATTAGAGAGTGGTAAAAAGTTTTATCCTTTCCAATACCTTAGAAGTTCGAGAAAATTTAAAGCACTAAAAGTTAAATTAAAAAAAAACACGATTTGCTTTCAAAGTTGTTATAACTACAATTTATGTCAGATTAAATTATTAACATTTCCGTTCTATTCAAAATCAGTATTATTTATAATTTATAATTACCATACAAAATACGTTAAATTCAGTATATAACGTTATTTTATTTTCATATATTATAAGGATTATAAATTATAAATAATCGAGTAACCTAGCAGCAAATTAAATGTTTTAGTGCGCATGCTCGTTTATTCGTACCGTCACATATCCGTGAACATTTCTACCGCGTAAACGTTTCACCGCCTCATTTTTCTGATACCCTAATACATGGAAGCACTTTTGAAGTCCATTGAGATCAGCGGAGTCTGACGAACTCTCTCGCAATTTGCAATCAAAACCCAATGATTTGCTTGTTGTCTTATTTTTTATGTTTGACACGGAATACCAAATTAGAATACATTAAAACTGAAAGGATTCGTAACTTTTTTAATAAATGAACTTCTTGGTCAGCCGCTTGACCGTTCGCCGTCCAAATCCTGCTTCTCTTTTTATATTTTACTTTCTCTCTTCTAAAAAGAAATTCCCTCCTTATATGCTCTCGGCAATTTATTTAGACTGTTCGAGATTTTTTATCCTAACCCTCGAGGGTTCCTACTCAATTTATTCACAATCGCCTAATTTATGTATTTTTTTTTTTCGTCCAAGGAAGTGGTTAATAATAAATTAATGAATTGCAAGTTTTGTTAAGAACTAAAGGAAGTTCAAGTTTACGCTCGAATCTTGACTTTCATAAAAATAAAAGTCTAAAACTATCACTTTATAATTACCGTTTAAATGTCAATTGCGTAACTGTAATTTTGAAATGCACGAGGTGAAAAAACGTTTAAAAATACCAAAATAATCCTAACCATGCAGATTCAATCGAATTAAACCGCGAACCGAGCTGCTAAATGAACATTCTTTCCGGCTCGCTTAGTTTCACTTCCATTATCAAAAAAAACAACGTGTTATCGCACTAACCAAGTAACCGGACATTAGAGTTCTTTTTTTTCGTGGTTTTTATTTTTCAATAAACTTTCTATATAAATACCATGTTCCTTGCAAATTTTACCTCAGTTCAGTGCTTGGTAGTAAATCAGAATGATACCTTTAACAGTAAGTTTTTGGGTAGTCTGGTGTGAAGTTTAATTTTATTAATATTATTTTCTTTTCAGATATTAGGAGCTGTTTGTTTGAGTTGGAGTTTCACAACTGCAAGCTCTCAACAGCAACCTCAACAAGTGTTACCACCACAGCAAGTAAATCCCCCATATCCAGTACCATATGGAGCCTACCTTCAGCAGATAGATGCTGCGGGCGCTCAAGCACTTCCCGTCCAGCATAGTTTTACTGTTAACCATTCTCCATATACTTATTATCCTAGACCAGAAATTTTTGATCCTCCTCAATCTTCACCACAAGCACATAATCAATCACCACTAAATCATAACCCATTATTAGCAACTCATAATCCATCACATCAAGTAAATAATAATCCACCATTAGTACATAATAATCCTCCACCACCACCACCACCAAAATATGTCGCTGAAAGACGTGATAATCCCAATCCAAATGTGCATCCATACAATAATCAACGACCAATTCAATTTTTGTCAAAAACTCCACAATATGCCCCTCAACAAATTCAACCGAAACAACCAAATCGACAATTGAACCCGAGTCGTGCAGGAATTCAAGTTGTGCCACCTCCAAGATTGGGTAAAATCCAAAACAATGATCTCCCAATTTATGGAAAGATCTCCCAAGGTCGTCCACCGGTTCAACCATTCCTTTCACAAGGTGAAAAATTCCGTCAACAAGCTGCCGGCAAAAATTTACCTATTAAACCAACAGAAGAAAAGTATTACAATCATCATGACGCGCGTCGTATTCAAGTTCCTATTCCCCCACCAACAAGAAATCATCCTCAGCGACAACAGCCAAGAAGAAAACAAGAGGAGGAAGAAGAAGAGGAAGAAGAAGCCCGAGAAGACTCTGAAGAAGAAAGTGAAGAAGAAGATGAAAGCGGTGAAGAAGACGAAAGTGAAGAGGAAGAGGAGCATGACGAAAAAGGCGAAGCTTCGGATCTTCCCCCAGAACACAATCGAAGTGAATACGATTTCGATAACAGAAATTACAGACCAACCTTTGATGCAGCTAAATATATCTTCAACCGTAAACAGAATCAGAAAAAACCGGGACAAAAATACTACGAAGATGATGTACCAAAATATCATAGGGAAAGAGGATACGGATACGTTTATCGTAAGAACACTAAATCAAAACCAAAATCAAAAAGCACCGAAATAGAAAAATCACCAACTGAAGTAATAACAACGACAGAACGCCCACAGTTTGCGTTTTACGATTCTGAACCAAAATTCAACCCTTACGAACCGTATCAATTTGAAACACCGAGATTTACCGAACCTCCTAAATTTGAAATGCCGAAAAGAATAAAGGCTGAGCGAGTAGAAATTACTAATGGAAAACCGACTTATTATTATTATAGTTCACCCGAACCCAAACCTAATGATAATAAAAATAAAAATACTAGTACTACTAAGGATAACAAGCCACAAGCAACAAGGAAGAAGATGATCAGAGAAAAATGGTATGTGCACACTAAAGAAACGTAGGTTATTTTTGTAAAATTTTAGATTGTTGATGTAAATAGTTAAATAAATGTATAAGTTGTTGTTTAATGTGTAATTTTCTTTATATATAATATAGAAATATAGAGGTAATGGATTGTGATAATTATTTTTTATAGTTAATTTTTTGTTATAAAATTAATATGTTATCTAGACAGTAACAATGTGGTTTCCTTTATTAATAAAATATATTTCATAAAATTAAAAACCTAATTCATTTAAAATAACCGATTTGTTCTGGCAATAATCTTAAAGTTCATTTCAACCGGGAAGTAATCGTTGGTCAAGTGAAACAAATTATAAATTAGAACGAAACGGGAAGTTGTCATTATTTCAACTTTAAAACAAATTTGAAACGGAAACCATTACAATCTCAATTTCTAATTTAGATAATAAGGAGATTATTTAAATTTAAGTTTTACATAACACTTTTACTATGGTTTAACGTTATTTTGTATTTATGTTTTTTTGGTAGAACTCTTAAAGCGCGGTACTTTCTATTATTTTTTCAAATAAGATCAAATAAGTAAGTTAAAGAGATTAGATTTGGTGATTTTGGTGAATACAAGAATATCTACCGGCGAAACTTGAATGGCGAAAAACACGCTAGCAAACAAAACGTCCACGTATTGCACAGTGTTCTTTGAAATTACCGGCCATAACATGATTTACTAATTTTCTTTTTTAATATTTTGGCAAATGGGGGCCGTTAGGTTATATCGCAATACTCGCTACTCCGCAATAAACACTTTCTATTAACTTCAACTCTGGATAAAAATGACAGGTAAAGTTAACACTTATTTTGCATATCAATTTCCAAAAACATTTGATTAATATTGAGAAACGATTGAAAACATATTGAAAGTTGTACCTTTATGAAATTTCACTATAATTTTATACTGTATGTGTTGTTTATGTAATACTGTAATAGCTTCTTGAATACTGGATTTATTTATCTTTTTCTCAACACTGTTCATAAACAGATTTTATTTGCAATGTTAAACTTTAATTTCAGCTACAAAAAAAGTCCCACAAGATCCCAGGTTGAAATTTGGTTTTTTATGTAGTTTCAAGCCTCCGTTTCCAAAAAAATACATTGCGCATATTTGCACATTTTCAATAAAATGGCTAATATACAGGGTGGTGTCTACGGATATTCGACAGTGAATACTGAAAGTTAGTTTTGAAACTATCAATCGTTTATAATTTTTCAGAATAACTATTTTATATGAATTAATATTAGTACTAACTCTATTATTAGATCTAGAACTAAAAGCTTTCGGGCTTAACCGTGCGTCTTTAAAAAAAATAGTCATGATGCGGATATCATGTTATAACCTTCTTCCCAAACAAGCCCGAAGTATTTTTTTAGTTAAAAAATAACCTATCCAACACACAGTAATAAAAAAGAAAATCAATGACGCGTTAAAACGCAAAACCAGATACCTATTTCACAAAAATTATTATCAAGAAATGAACCTAAAATAATACTTCAAAATGCAGGTGGTTCAGTTTTTAATCGGGAAACTTTACTAGGATGTAGTACTTGCCAAAACAATACAAGTTTTTTATATAAACATAGGGTCGCGCAATTTTTTATTTCGGCTCTAAGTAAACCATATGATTTGAAATTTTGTACGTATTTGCTACTGGTTATTATACCTTATTTTCAAGCATACCTTGAGCTTCCCTAGCGCCCTCTAAGGGGATGAAATTCACAACCCCTTTGATTTTTTTATAAGAACTTTTTAGTATTCCATCGCCATGGAATACTAACATAAGAAAATATGAGTTTTAAAGTCCATTCTTTAGTGCTACTTTTTGTCTCTTTAATTTTTTCCTTAAAGTTAATAGTTTTCGCCTAAAAGAATAAAATATCGCGCCATGTACTGCTATGTGTCGTCATGTTTAACTAAAATTGTTCTAAAAGTTGGCTTTGAGTTTCATTTACGTTGAATCCTCATAATTGTTGATGATTATTAATAATTTTTGATTGTTATTAAGCAAGAGTGGCAATTTTTTAATATTATTTATTATTGTTTAAAACAACATAATTTGTTCACACAGACATTTACGTTATTTATGATTTTTGTTATGAAAATCAAAATAAACTTGTGTTATTTTGTCAGTATTAGATCCTAGTAAGAGCACAACTTTCATAGGGTTATTAGATTATATAATCAATTATATAGTTGGTATTATATGCCTGTGGAAGTACATAAAATTCTTGTGCATGGCCACTTAATAAAATCATTAAGTATCTCGATTGGCCTGCTTCCAGAAGATGCGCAAGAAACTAGGAACAAAGACCTTAGAAAGTATAGAGAATGGACGAGAAAAATGTCCAGAATACACAATAATAGAGACATTTTAAACAGGCCATTAATATATATATATACATAATATACAGTGCTAGCGTAAAGTAACCCCCCCCCCTGTTTAACTTCTGAACAGATTGAGATATCAATATGAACAAAAAAACGTCAGTTTCTATATTTTATCAGCACAAATATTTTCTTATGGAAAATTTTGGTATCACTTTTAGTTTTTCCGGAAAATGGAACAGCTTTGTTTTTTTAAATGGAACACCCAGTATATTATGGTATCTTTCGAAAGAATAAAACAATACGAATTCAACGATACCTCACAATCAAATATCGGTTTATTAGTTTTTTACATAAAAATTAAACAAAATGCGGAATTTCGCCGGAAAAACCAACGTATCTTCGTTGACTACCTGTCGAGATACAATGGGCCAGATAAATGGTGGACGGTCAGTTAAAGGTCGGTCTACGCTCGGATTAAGCAGGGTTAAAATCAGCAATTCTTTTAGAATGTTTTTATGAAACAATCAATACAAGAAAAGGATAAAAAGAAAGTTCTTTTTAAAACTTCTAAGAAAAAATTGTCATAACAACAATTTTAAAGTTTGTAGGTACTTTGAAATTTTGTATTTAAGGCAGCATGCAAATATTTTCCTTCATTTCTATCTTTGAATTCTACCCGACCAAGTATAACCAAAGAAAGGCGAGATCAAAATGGCTAGAAGGAGTTTAGAGCACAATATCGAAGCAATTTTAATATTCGCTCGTGCTGACAGAAATCTACATGAAACAGGGCGACAATTTAAGGAACGATTTCCTGAACATCCAATTAGTCGAAAATATTTAAGAGAGCTTGTGAATAAGTTTTTGGAAACTGGAAGCGTCGAAGACCGCAAAAGAACTGGTCGTCAGATATTAACAGAAGTATTTAATGTGCCCATGATGTCGTCTGCTGCTATCGCATCAACGTGTGATGTGTTAAATATTTCCGCGTCGTTGTTGGACGACGTGGAAATACTTAAAGAAGAATAAATATCATCCATTTTAAATAAAAATGCTTCATGAATTAACAGAAGATGACCCTGATATAGAAGAACAGAATTTTGTGAGCTAATGACAAATATGGTTGAACGAAATCGATTATACTTGAAACATATTTGTTTCAGTGATGAATGTACTTTCTTTTTGGGTGGAAAATTGCATCGGCGTGATGTTAATCCACATGAATATCGTGACGTTATCACTCAATTTCATTAGAAAGTAAATGTTTTTTTTTCAAGACTTTTGCAAATTGTACAACAGAATTCTGACGATTTTGAAATGGAACTAGTGTTTCATCAAGACGGAGCACCTCCACATTATGCGCCAATGGTACGAAATTATCTTGATAAAAATTTTAATGGACAACAAGATCACCAGATCTGACACCTTTAGATTTCTTTTTATGGGGTTATTTAAAATCCAAGGTATATGAAATTCCGTTGGGTAGTATTGAGGATTTAAAACAAAAAATTATTGACGTCTGCCAAAATATTGATCACATGTTAAGCCGTGTGAGAGAGGAAACACTACAAAGATGGTACCACTGCCTAGAAGTTCAAGGTAATCATATCGAACAATTTACTTAATATTTGATTCTTAATAAATAAAAAATTCTTTTATTATTCAATAACAACACTAAGCAAATTTTTCAACCGTTACCTATACTAGCAAAATCTTTAATAAGAAAATTTCATTTCTTATATTGACTTTTTTTCTTTATAAATATTTTTTGATAAAATATGATTAATTCATAAATTTAATATACTTACTTCCAAACAACTTTTATTTCATTTCTAAAAAAAATAAGTAATTGAACTTGCAATTTCAAATCCGTCTCAGCTCCAGCGTATACCGACCGTTAACCTACCGTCCACCATTTACCTGGCCGATTGCATTTCGACAGGTAGTCGACGAAGATACGTTGGTTTTTCCGGCAAAATTCCTGATTTTGTTTAATTTTTATGCGAAAAACTAATAAACCGATATTTGATTGTGAGGTACCATTGGATTCGTATTGGTTTCATCTTTCGGAAGATACCATAATATACTGGGTGTTCCATTAAAAAAAACAAAGTAGATCTATTTTCCGGAGAAACTAAAAGTGATGGCAAAATTTTCCATAAGAAAATATTTGTGCTGATAAAATATAGAAACTGACGTTTTTTTGTTCATAGTGATATCTCAATTTGTTCGGAAGTTAAACAGGGGGGGGGGTTACTTTACGCTAGCACTGTATATAAATTAATTTTGATTACATTCGCTATAACTAAAGAACGGTTTGACCGATTTTAATGTTATATACCTCAAAGGAAAGCTTGCGTCTGATTGGATGTAGAAGTTATAAATGTTAAATTAACAAGGCGTATACACTCATAACATTTTTGTACATGAAACTAAGTGCATTTTCTCGAAACATCCGTTTTACATCTGGTAAACACGATTCTTAAAAAACTACTCATTCGATTGACTTGAAATTTGAAATGCACTTTGAAATAGCATCTTTCTATTATATGATCTACAGAGAAACTGTTACGATATATACATATGTATCTTTTTGCAATAAACTTATCGACGTCAAGAACAAAATCGATTATCTTAATTTGACTAGGCGTCATTTTGCCAATCAAGTTTTTTTTTTGCTTAGTTCTAGTTCAAACGATAATCACAAATATATAGAAAAGAATATCATTTGATTTTTGAGTTTCAGATCATTTCAAGGATAGATATTGTGTCAACCAGCAACTTAGACAATCCACGCACCAACTTGGTTGAGGGACAATGTAAAGATTATTATATCATGAAAACATATACAAAAGATTAAATTGAAATACCACATAATTTGACAGCAAAAAATTTCCAAAGAAATCATTTTATTTGATACAAAAAAAGAGACTCCCCCCTTAAAAGCTTGAATTAGATTATCCTAGTATTATTTGGAGTGGTTTACACTCAATTTCAAATTATTTCATGTTTTGACAATGTTAATAATTAAAGCTTTATAATTTTTCAAGCACAAAACGCAAAAATTTATTGAATGGTACCGTTTTTCAACCACAAATCCAATGAGTAGCGTGCAACCGGTTTTTATCTGGCAACATTACACCGTTCAAATCGCGAATTATCGCGATATGTTTTGGTAAATTAATAAAATTGAAAACGACTCACCGAATGGATGTTGTTTCCCTTGGATTTTACATCGAAGCTCAGCTAGAAAGAAAAGATAAATTTATTTATTGAGACAAAAAAAATGAATTAATATGATACCTTTTAACATCCATAAAATAGCAATCCGATGATCTTAACTATATCACATCACTAATATCACCTAACACTTGGCATAAATATAGCACGTATTTATCACATAATTCAAGTAATAAGTTTTATTTTTCAAAACTACTTTATCACCCTTGAAAGCCCGCATATCAACTAAAATGCGTTATTAGCGAATCAACTTCCAAACATCCCCTCCTTAATTTATTGTGTGAAGAAGGAATACTGGAGGTGAATAAACAAAAAATGTAAAGACGACCGGGCGAAGCGGTTTTAAATCGTTTTTTTGGTTTCAAAACTCAACCTTTCAATCAAAAAATTACCCGTTTTCTCGAAATACATATTTCAAATAAAACTTACGTCATTTTACTAAAATAAAACGCACTAACCGAATTTCAATGTGTAGCACTTTCCGTACCCTTAACCCGGTACAGCTAAAATTATAAAATTTGAAAAAAAAAGACTAGAAAAGTAAGAACAATAATAAATTATATTAAAGGTAGAAATACTAAAACCAAAAATTAAAAAAAGATTTTCTGTTTTAGTACAAATACATTTTAAATCAGTCTATTACTTTGTTCGTTTGTTTACATACTTTATTATGATTAGCAGAATATTTCAAACATTTTCACATTAGTATATCAAACGATTTCCCATATGTTAATTTGAAAATTTTCGGATTCACGGTTTTCTTTTTATCGCGAGTTAAATGAAAAAAGTATCCGATTTTTAAGAACTTTGTCTACTTTGCGATTTTTTCTCCAAAACTATTTGACAAAGAAAAATTCAAATTTCATTCGGCTTTCAAATGAGACTTTGTTTATCAAAATCGGTTCAGTGGTTCTCTTGTTATAATCAAAATACTATACATGTATCCAAAATCCTATCTAATTGGGGGCTAGAAAAATTGGGGGCTAACTTCGCATAGGTATTAAATCAAATTATTACAATAAACATTTAAGAGTATATTTTTATTCATTTGGCACCTTGTTACTACCTAATCATTATGCGTTTACATATAAGTGCTTATTAAAATGGACGTAATAATTTTTTGATCAGATTCTTTAATCTGTTAATTAATTTTTAATTTTGTTTAATCAACTTGAAAATGTGCTTAGCAAGTGTTTTTAATGTTTATTATTTTAACTACTTGTTAGTATTTACGTACTTGCAGAAAAAATTTTTTTTTCGAAAGCTTAACACAGTTAAGCTAATAAAACAACGCAAAGTTTTAAGCCAACAATAAGACTATCTGACGTAGTTGTGTTTAACGCAGGTCAATATTTTTTATAGGGTATTTACTCAAATTTAAAATATCAACTCTAAAATTGGGTATTGATCATTTCGGTCAGATTAAACACTTGGAAGTCGCTTAGAGCCACGTTGTGTCGTTCGCACTCGTCCAAAGTTTGAGAAATTGGCTCTAAATATCTTAGTTCTCAACCCCAAAATACAATATTAAAAGAATTGGTAAAAAAATTCTTTGATTATGCTTGTGATTTATAAATGAATTAGATTACGATTGTGGCGGCTCACCCTTATGGCACGCAAACCAAGAATTTATATTAAATTAAAAATATTATCAATGTTGGCCGTATGTCGTCGTTTCTATGTTGCTTGTTTATGTTATTTTTATATATAGACATTAATTAATAAATCCTTCTGATGTAAAGGCATAAAATTATTTTAAATTATTAACTTTTGAAGTAGCGTTGTTCTTTAATCAAAAAATAACCCACACTATAACAATACTGTAACCTCTATAGTTTTAAATAATACTGTTTGAAACATATCAATACAATCGTTACATAGTAACACACAAAACCAATTCGTCAAGTTGCATATTGGTCAATGCACAAGTTCCGATCGATATGATCTGGAACCGTTCCCATGGAAACAGGCGCACCCTTCTAGCATCCTCAGCTCTTCCCCCGTTTTAGGGACAGTACCTGAAAAGCTATGGCAACAGCAATGTGGCGATTAGTGTTGTTTTTCGGTGCGATATCAACTGTTTTAGTGAATGCAGTTTCAAAACCAACCGTTTTTAATATTGGAGGAGTATTAAGTAGTAATGAGAGTATAGCATATTTCCAGGAGACCATTCAGGTAAATAGATTAGAATTTTGTAATAAGTTCAAGGTGAAATGTATTTTTGTTGTTTTAATTCAGGTTCTAAACTTTGCCAGTCAAATTGTTCCAAAAGGAGTTACATATTATCACAAAGCCATTTTAATAAATCCTAATCCAATTAAAACTGCTTTAAATGTTTGTAAAGATTTAATTTCTAGTAGGGTGGGTTTTTAATAAATTCAAAAATTTTGTGGTTTATTTGATAGTAAACTTTTAGGTGTATGCAGTGGTTGTTTCTCATCCAACAACTGGTGATTTATCACCAGCTGCCGTGTCATATACTTGTGGGTTTTATCACATCCCAGTTATTGGAATATCATCAAGAGATTCCGCATTTTCAGACAAAGTATTAATACAAAAATCATCTAAACAATTTTTTTAATATTACTTTTTAGAACATCCACGTTTCATTTTTACGAACTGTACCACCATATTCCCACCAAGCCGATGTTTGGGTTGAATTATTAAAACGTTTCAACTACAAAAAAGTGATCTTCATCCATAGTTCAGACACAGATGGTAGAGCACTTTTGGGAAGATTCCAAACGACTTCGCAAACTTTAGAAGATGACATCGAAATTAAAGTTCAAGTACATTCTCAAAACAACCCATAATAATTATTATTAACGTCTCATTAAAATTTGAACAGGTTGAAAATGTTCTTGAATTCGAACCGGGCTTAGAAAGTTTCACCGAGCAACTCCTAGAAATGAAAAGCGCACAAGCTAGAGTATACTTAATGTATGCGAGTAAAACAGACGCTCAAATTATTTTTAGGGATGCAACATGGCTGAATATGACCGATTTTGGATATGCCTGGATTGTAACCGAACAAGCTTTACAAGCGAATAATGTTCCAGTAGGTATATTAGGATTGAAATTGGTCAATGCGACTACAGAGAAAGCACACATCAAAGACAGCATGTAATAAAATCCAACGATTTCATAAATAAAATGTAAGTTTTGGTGTAGTCATATTTTAGCATCAGCCTTGAAAGATATGAACCAAACCAAAGAAATAACGGAAGCACCAAAAGATTGTGACAATTCAGAATCTCCTTGGGAAACAGGAATCTCTTTATTCGACTTTATCAAAAAACAAGTTTTACTTGGTGAAACTGGAAAAGTTGCTTTTGATGATCAGGGTGATAGAATTAACGCAGAGTATGCAATAGTAAACATTCAAAAAAATAGGAGGGAGATCACAGTAGGAAATTACGTTTTTAATAAGGTTGGTACTTTCCATATTATATGTCATTTATATAATTTATAGTTTAGGAGAAAAATCGGATGCAATTACTGGTTGATGAGAAAAATATTACATGGCCTGGTGGTCAATACATAAAACCAGAAGGTTTTATGATACCAACACATTTAACAGTCCTCACAATAGAAGAAAAACCGTTTGTATACACCAGAAAGTTAAGCGAAGATCAAGATAAATGTCACCCGGATGAAATACTTTGTCCACATTTTAACGCAACTGAAGATGGTTAATTACATAGTGTTGTAATTAAATGAATGCTAAAAATTTTTTTTATAGAATCAGCCCGATATTGCTGCAAAGGTTTTTGCATGGACCTTCTTAAAAATCTTGCCGCCAAAATTAATTTTACATACAGCTTAGCTTTATCACCTGATGGCCAATTCGGAAACTTCTTAATCAAAAATAATTCCACCAAAAAAGAATGGTCCGGGTTGATAGGGGAATTAGTTAGCGAGCGAGCTGATATGATAGTGGCCCCGTTAACTATAAATCCAGAAAGAGCAGAATACATAGAATTTAGCAAACCTTTCAAATATCAAGGAATCACAATTTTGGAGAAAAAACCATCTCGGTCATCAACATTAGTATCATTTTTGCAACCTTTCAGTAACACTTTATGGATTTTAGTGATGGTCTCCGTACACGTGGTTGCGTTAGTTTTATATCTTCTCGATAGGTTTTCACCATTTGGAAGATTCAAACTCGCTAATACCGATGGAACTGAAGAAGATGCTTTGAATTTATCCAGTGCAATTTGGTTTGCTTGGGGGGTACTTCTTAATAGTGGTATTGGGGAAGGGACTCCTAGGAGTTTTTCTGCTAGAGTCTTGGGAATGGTTTGGGCTGGATTTGCTATGATTATTGTGGCATCGTACACTGCTAATTTAGCAGCTTTTCTTGTATTGGAAAGACCGAAAACTAAATTAACAGGAATCAATGATGCCAGGGTAAGAATTTTTTTATGGATTAATCCTTTATAAAATTTTTGTGATAGTTAAGGAACACAATGGAAAATTTAACTTGTGCAACTGTCAAAGGTTCCGCTGTTGACATGTATTTTCGAAGACAAGTTGAATTGTCAAATATGTACAGAACCATGGAAGCTAATAATTATGATACAGCCGAGGATGCAATAAGAGACGTGAAAATTGGGTAAATCCATGAATTCTTGGAATATTAAATTCTTTATAATTTCTTTTTAGGAAGTTGATGGCTTTTATTTGGGATAGCTCAAGATTGGAATACGAAGCTGCTCAAGATTGCGAATTGGTGACTGCAGGAGAACTTTTTGGAAGGTCAGGTTATGGAATTGGGTTACAAAAAGGATCTCCATGGGCTGATGATGTTACTTTAGCTATTTTAGATTTCCACGAAAGTATATTCTAATAATAAACATCTAATTTAATTACTATTATGTTAATAATTTAGGCGGTTTTATGGAAGATCTAGATAACAAATGGATTTTATTAGGCAACATTCAACAATGTGAACAATTCGAAAAAACGCCCAACACTTTAGGCTTAAAGAACATGGCTGGTGTTTTTATATTAGTCGCTGCTGGTATCGTGGGCGGTATCGGTTTAATCGTAATTGAAATGGCTTATAAGAAGCATCAAATAAAGAAGCAGAAAAGAATGGAATTAGCTAGACACGCAGCTGATAAATGGAGAGGAGCTGTGGAGGTAAAAATAAAATTTTATGTACGATTTTGTTGCTTGATGAAGATTTTCTACTTCAGAAACGAAAAACATTACGTCAATCAATCGCAACTCAACGACGCATTAAATCGAATGGAGTTAACGACCCAATTTCCATATCTTTAGCGGTTGATAAATATCAACGTAATATTTTACCAGAAAGAGGATGGCCAGGAGATTCTGATATCAGACAGAGGAGAATTGAAGATATCGGAGGAGTACAACCTGTTCCAAGATATTTACCAGCGTACACCCCCGATGTTTCACATCTTATCGTTTAAAGTTTACTTAAAATCGAAAATATGCAACTCTATAATTAATTGTTAGATTGTACCCAATATTAAATAAAATTGCAATGAAATATTAATGTAATAACATGTTAATTGTTATAGAATGTATTAGAGAGATATTTAAATAAATAATTAAATATGAAAAGAATAACAATAATAAATGTTAAAATAAACAAGTACAGAATTTTATTGAGACCGAGTGCATATGTACTTATTATAAGACGAGTACAACAGTACTTAACGTTACTGAACTTTGACATAGCCACAACATTGATAACAATTTAAATTTAAAAATTAGGCTGTAATATAATTCTTAATTATTTATTATTACTGAATGAAACAATGCAGTTTTTTTACAAATAAAATGCAAAAATAATCAGCTTTATAATTAAAACGACATATTTATAATTACTGAAAACGCATCTACTGAAATGATTTTATATTTCTCCTGACATTGTTATGGCACTTTGCCCTGGGACGAGATAAATTTGAAATGTAAATAAATAGGTTTGATTAAAGACTTAGTAAACCAGTTGAATTTATGATTTTATATTGAATGGATCGATTTAAATTAAGTTTAGTAGCATTTAAAGTTATTTTTCCTAAACATGAGCACAAAATCCCAAAATAAATCGTATGTTTCATTTATATCAATAACTAAAATTTTTTTTAACTAATTAATGCATTTTAGAGAACACAAATTAAAAACGAAAGTTTTTGTTGAAAGAAAATCCCTTCTCACCGAATTATTAGAAACAAAAAATTTCTTAACGGTGAAATGCTTATTATATGCAGTTTTGTTTGGATTTGTTGGAAATGATATTGTTTGTGGTTTAATATTTCGCAAAGAGTAAGTAATTATTATTTATAAATTATTTATAAGCTACTTTATTTCATTGTAGAGTAAATTATGGTTTAAGATTGGTTAAAATTGGATTTAGAAACTTTCAATGGGTTATATTAATATGGATGTCATTGTTCGCTTTGAGTATATTAGTATTTTACTTGTTCCAATTATGGACGTGGTTAAAAATGAAACATACCATCTCAAAATTTGGAATAAAATTATGGGATTATATTTTTCTCCTGCTCTTCTTATCTTACTATTCTACCATATTTATCGTCCTACCTTTACTTACTAAACATTATAATCTAGGTGTTGTATCCAACAGTGTCATTCTTATGGAAGCGGTAGTTTAAAAATTAAATTTAATAAGATCATTAAAATATACATTTTTTTTAGGTCAGAATTTTAATGAAAACACATTCATTTATACGACATAACGCTCCATTAGTTAATAACTACAAACCACACAGCGATCAAGATTTCTTTGCACCAACATTAAACCAGTATCTGTATTTTTTTTTTGCACCCACAATGCTTTATAGATCAGAATATCCACGACGAAATGATGTTAACAAAACATATGCTTTTCAATGTTTCCTCGAAGTAATTCTTATTATTTGGTTACAAAGTTACGTTATGGATGTATTTTTTATAAAAAGATTTGAAAATATTGACGTGCTAAAAATGCCTTGGTCAGATGTTTTTATCGCAATAATGCACAGTACTGTTGGTGCCTTTCTTATAATGACTACGGTATTTTATTTATTACTAGATAGATGGTTAAATGGATGGTCTGAAATTTTGCGATTTGCCGATAGAAGATTTTATGAGGTAAAACATTAGTTTTATTATTTTTTATAATTAATAATAAAAAACCACATAGTCTGAATAACATGCTTAAAAAGGCATTAATGATTGTTTAGAGTTTAAATTAGGAATTACCGTCTTCTTTAAATCTTTACTTTATGGCCACCATTAAAACATCATAGCAATTAAAGAATGAGAGACTCATTGACCGTCACTTATTTCACACCACATTGCCACGTTTTGGCTGTCGGTGTAATTTTCGTAAATTATCAGGGGATCAATTACGACAATATGACAAAACCATTCAAGTGAATGCTTAGTCTTTTCATATGACAACATCGCCACTGCATCTACACATGAATTGCTCACGTTGAAGGAAATCTGTGAGGAATTATGGTGCATTTTCCTGCATCACATACATCTCGAAACTCTACTTCCTTCAGAGTGTTGCTTCATACGTACTTTCCAGCTGGTGATAAATAATGCATTAAGAAACAGTCCCCCAATAACAGAAATTCTGACTAATGCCCGCCGCATTGTGACATATTTCAATCAGTAGGGATATACAAAACTTGAAAGTATTCAGTCTGAACACGGACTGCCTAAACATAAACTGATTCAAGATATTCAAACTCGTGGGAACTCAACATATTATCTACTGGAGCGTCTACTTGAACAAAAAATAGTGTTCTATATCAGATGTGATACCTAGAACAGTTTCATTAACTAGATACCGAATGAAAGATGAACACGTTGATTATTTTAGAAAAACGTTAATAGAAAATATGCAAGCACGTTTTAACTTAGAGGTCAATATTTTTAGATCTTCGTTACAAGAATTTTTTCTTTGACGCTGCCCAAGCTGAACGGATCCCTAAAGTTGCGCTCAGAGGTCTTACAATTAGGTTTTCTTTAGACGACGAAAATGATGATTCGGATCCAGAAATGATCTCGTTTAGGCAATAAAAGTGGGAATGTCGACTCAGAACTCATAAACTATTTTGGGCATAGTATTATATATATTAATGCCGGTTGTGGACCGGAAGTTAATCTCCCTAAACCGCTGCTATTGCGCATGCGCAGGAAGTGACGTCATAGCGCGGGAAATTTAAAATTCAAAATTCATGAATCGCCATTTGGTAATGTGTATCTGTGAGGAGTATCACGACTTCATGATTCCCATGAGTTCCACTCATGATCACCTCCACGAAGTGGCCACTCTACTCGCCTGATTTGAACCCTCTCGACTTTTCCATTTGGTCGGTCCTTGAGAGCAAGGCCTGAGCTACACCCCAGAAGAATCTCGACGTCTACTATCTCTCCGCTACGGTGGCTGCGTTCCCCAAGCGTTTGCGGACCTGTATGAAGGCGAAGGGTAGATACATCGAAGTTTGATTGCAAGTCAAAATTTCATGCCTGTATGCGCTTTCATATAGGACTGAAAGATAACATGTAATCACGCCGCGTTGAACGATTCAATAAACTATTGTGCAACGTCAGCTTTCTGCCATCAGATGAGCATTCAAAACTAGCTCAAGATCGATTAGGCAAGGTAGTCATTCTTTCTGTTCCACAAATTACGTTCTTTTATTTTGCTCATATAATCCGTAATATTTAGAAAACCTAAACCATGTACCCTGTCCATCTTATGTTAAAGAAACTTCCAAAGGTCGGATCTGTGCCCATTCGATACAGTATAATTATGCGGCATCTGATAAGAAGAACCTTAATGCTGGTCATAATTACCTTATGCACATTGTAATTTATGCACATATTTGCAATTCCCGTATTTTGGTTCTACAATCTTCTTTTTACACTCTGTTGACATCTGTAATACGAATTTATTCTAGTTTCGAAGACATATAAGATATTGTTTTTTTTTTTTGAAAAAACATTAGGCATTGCGAAATACACATAAATAATTTATTATCGAGGAATTATTGTTAAAATTAAAAGAAAACATTTTTTTACAAGCACGATTAATCAAAATCCTGGTTAATTGGTCAAGGATAATCGACACTTTACTGTATTAATAAAAACATCCATTTGATTTTTCATCCAGTTCATACATTAAAAGTAATTTTTTGATTTTGTTGATTTTTCTTTCAGGATTGGTGGACAAGCACAAATTATTCTTTTTATTTAAGAACATGGAACACAGTCGTTCAAGATTGGTTATTTGAATACGTTTACAAAGAGTTTTATGAAATAATTATTCCTAAAAATAAAAGACTAGCAAAGATCATGGTATTTCTTGTATCTGCTGTAGTACACGAATACGTTTTAATTTTTATGTTGGACGAATTTTTTCCGTTGTTATTCATAAACTTTTTTGGATTAGGTCAATTTTTAACCAGTTACTACATCGACAGCAAACATCCTTTCTTTAATATGGGAATGTTGTACAGTTTATCTTTTGGAAATAGTATACAACTTTGTTTGTACACAATGGAATTTTACACACGACAATATTGTCAGGATACCAGTTCATGGTCTTATTTTAAACCTAGAATATTTAATCATGAGTGTTTCAATAGTACGTTATAATGTAATTTTTTAAATAGTTAAACATTTATAATAAATATTTCCAAATATTCATCGATGAATTATTTTCGTTATCAACCTTCATAGAACTATGAGTAAGTTCATTGATAGTGAAGACATTGTGAGTTCACGCGTACTTTTGTTATGAGCGTTTAGTACACAAGCACTTTAATAGTCTATCGACAACCTTGAAGAGATACACTATAAAGTTGACAGTTTTATATATAGTTAGTTCGATTACAAATTACTATTATTTATAAATGGTATCTTTAATGGTGTTACAAGAAAAACGTGTTATTGTAAAATACATTACGTGGGAGGGGATTTGAGAACCCCAACCAGTTTAAGAATTAGAATCATTTGGATATTTCCTGAGTGTGTGTTCGATTTATTAAAATTTTTCTGTGAAATGACTCAAAATAGTAATTGCGAGGAAGTTATTAAACCCAACAGGTAAACATTTTTAGTTTAATAATAAAGTTGTGATTATTTATGATTAATTTTATTAAAATACAGTGTTCGTCAACTTCATCTTAAACAATTTAAAGAGAGAAAATCAGTATTTACCGAACTTTCAAAAACGAAACATTTCTTAACAGTTAAGCATTTATTTTATTGTATATTGTTTGGATTATTATTAAAAGATGTAGCTTTTAATTTTATTTTAAACAAAAAGTAAGTATTAAGGTGAGAAACACGTGGGGAGTCAAATAAATAACAGGTTTTTTAGGGTGGATTATGGTCTCCGATCCATAATGTTTGGCTACGCCAAGTTTCACATTTTCCTAATACTTTGGTATTTAATTTTTACGTTAAATGTATTAACATTTACGTTTTATAATTTATGGGTAACCATAAGAAAGAAATGTTTAATAAGATCCCTAAATACTTTATGGGTTGATTGTATATTTTTTTGTTTGTTAATTGGTTATTATATCGGATCACTTTATGGTGTACCTGTTTTAATAAGAATATTTAATTTACCAATATTATCAGCAGGTTCTTTGTTAACGGAACAGGTAGGTTTTTCGATTTTATTAAAAAGCGAATTAATTAATTAATATTTATAGGTGAGATTAATAATGAAATCGTATTCATTTATACGAAGGAACGTCCCGGAAGTTTTAAATTATAAACCACATCGTGATAAAAAAATTTTCCAACCAAAGTTTTCCCATTATATATATTTTTTGTTTGTACCCACCTTAATTTATCGTCATAAATATCCTCGGTAATAAAAGCTATTTTCTGTATGCCTATATAACATGAATTCCAATTGTTTTTTTAATTTTATAGCACAAAAAGTATCAACTGGAATACTGCAATACACTGTTTCCTCGAAGTGATCGTTTGTATTTGGTTACAAAGTTATACAATGGATTATTTCTTTGTAAAAAAATTTGAAACAATAGGAATCATCAAACATGATTGGAGTTACGTAATTATAGTAATACTAGAAGGTGCAATTGGCGGATTTCTATTAGTTGTGTTGCTTTGTTATCAACTTCTACATAATTGGATGAACGGTTTCGCAGAAATTTTAAAATTTGGCGATAGAAAATTTTACGACGATTGGTGGACTGCAACGAATTTCCAAACTTTTTTTCGAAAATGGAATATAATCGTCCAAGATTGGTTATACGAATATATTTATAAAGATTTCTCAGAAAAAGTCACCGTCAACAACAAAGTTATCCCGAAAATTATGGTTTTTTTAGTCTCAGCTATCGTACACGAATACATTTTAACCGTTATTACGCAACAGTTTTTTCCCTTTCTTTTCGTTAATTTTTTTATATTCGGCATGATATTTTCGTTTTTGAATACAAAACATATTGTTTATAACATATTATTTTTGTATGGTCTTTCGTTTGGTTTTAGTTTAAATGTAAGCTTTTATACAATGGAATCATTTGCACGAAAAAATTGTCACGTTGAATATAATACGACATCACAATTTTTACCTAGAATATTTTCTAGTCAATGTATAAACGCATTACAATGAAATAACTATTAAATTACGTTTAGAATTTATAAAGAATTTATTTCAGCAATTACATAAACAGTTTATTTTCTGAATGTTCATGTTTTCTTAACGCTTTAAAATACAATTTTAGAGGTTTGTAATTAGTTTTATGAAACTAAAAATATAAATGAAAAAGTGTTAAATAAAGAATTTGAAAGTAATAAAAATTTGAAATTGGATCTTTATGATTTTGCAACATTTTACCCATCTTTTTGTCAATTTTGTCGATGCGATAGCCGATATCTAAAATTATTTAATTCCAAGGATATTTTATAATGAATGTGAACATTACCTATAAATAAATATTTGCATTAAATATTTTTGCGATACCACTTAACATATTCAATATTACTTCATCATTGCTTGCAACAACAATCTGTTTATCAGATTTTCAATTTATTTATTTTTATTCATCAATTTCTCATGTTTTGACTAACAAATATTTTTGTGGATTATTTAATAATAAATATATAGTCTTTCATATTCGCTAGATTTAAACTTTTTCTCTTTTCTTAGAGAATTCTTTGAAACCATAAAAAGTAGAAAAAAAACGATTTTATGCAAATGTCAAACATTCAGTAGTTATCAACAAAAGAAGGGAAAGGTTGCCTAATAGAGATAAAAATGAAGTAGCTGAAGCTGATCCAAGCAAGGAAACTAGTTTCTTAAATTGAATCTCTTCCTTTTTTATGAGCAATTATAACTAATACAAATTTTGGCCTCCACAGTAATACCTGTACACAGTATGTACCAAAGTGTGACAGTTTAATGTTTTCTTGCTTGGTTTCTTCACACAAAAGTAGATGGCGTTATATGATTCAGGTACCTTACTTATTTGCTCAAGTCATCAGAACACCTATTACGGCTATTACTTAGTACTTTGTTCTGGAATCTTTCAATCAGACTTGCATTTGTCTTGCAGGTACAACCCTACAATTGGATTCCGTATGGCCATTTTGTTTTAATACTTGCTTGTATAGCAACTTGTTACTTAGTGATAGCGTTGACTTTCTGCCAATAAGCCAATATAGGTGTCTAAAATCTTTAATATGTATCTTTAATTGCGCTTTTAAGGCCCACTTTTACCACCTCTTGATAAATTTATCCGATAGATAAATCCAGCTCTAAGCCAATGAGAGCGCTTAAAACCGCCGTAACCATGGCAACTATCCTCTAGATAGTTTATCAAGAGGATGGTAAAAGTGGGCCTAAGTAATTTATAAATGTCATCATATTGTTTGACATTATAAATTAATATTGGTGGGAGTAGTAATACCTTTGTTTTGTTTTTTACACCAAATTGTAATGGTTGCTTTTCAGGTTTGCTTTCAATTTCAGAAGACAGTTTAGATGGCGAGGTTTCAGTTTTACGTTTTTTGTTTCTTTTAGCTTGTTTTATTATCCAGTCAGTCTCCAAAGTTAACTTATCTTCGTCTATGGTATACACCACTTTGTTGGTTACTGAAGGTCCTATGATATGACGCCATAGACAGATATTCCTGCCAAGAGAGTTACTTTTTTTGTAAATTGGCTCTGAACCTCACGATATTGACGTAAATATAAATCATTCTAGTTGTGTATAGTTTATACTTGTTATTCTTAATCCAAGTAAAATGTATGTTCGTCACTGAAGCAGATGAGGTTTATAGTTATGATAGATTATATTCAATTATATTGGTTATTTAGTTACAAAATTCTATTCTTCTATTAGGATCTTTATCTATAAGTTGATGAACCTTTTGAATAGCTAAATAATTTCTTGAAGAAATTTGTTTTTACACTTTAACAATAGATAGATATAATATATAAATTACCACAAAAAAATAGAATGGTTTTATCTTCCTGTTTCAATTCCATCATCACAAATACCATTTCTATCTTTTGTTCGTTTCTCAATAGTAAAACACATTTTATCACGATAACTCATTTTCTTCTGCGTTTTGTGGTTAAGGCGTAAAAGGTAATTACAACCGTATTACTTCATCGAAATCGTTTCAAATCTTTCAACTACGTTGTTGAAAATTACAACTTTATAATTAATTAATAATTAGAAACCAACCATATAATTATAAACAAATATAAAGACCATGTAAGGATCTAATTAATATAAATAGCAATATTTATCTACATCTATATAACAATAATCATCTATGGTAAACAACACCAAATCTGTATCCAATTATAGAGCGCACTGTTTGCATGTGTTATTCTTTAATAAAAACTACCTTAAACTAACACCGATTACTCAATAATTTGTGAAAATAGTTCCAGTTGGTCCTCGTATATATTTACGAAAAGTTAACAACAATAAATGGTATAAAGTATCAAAAGCCTTGCAAAAATCAACAAATATTACCATGACTGTTGCCCTTTCACCAACACCATTATATATACTAGCAAATATTTTAACAAAAATAGATATAACTGTGATTTTACGATAATTTACCCTCTAATTTAGACGTTTTTCTAAACACTAAATAATTTCAACTATCAAGTAATTAAACGTGTATAATTAAACAGTGAACTTCAATTAAAGTGTTTAATTCTATATAAATACACTTGCTTTCCAGATATACGGTTAGTGTTTTGATATATAGTTAAACGTCATGACGAATCGTAAAAATAACACTGCAATTCGTACAAAGAAGTCTACTATGTAAGCGATTAAATTGCGATTAATTAACGAATCGTTTTTAATGTTTGCGTTTTAGTGAAGGAAAAGTATTTGAATTACGTGAATCACCTTTAACACAACTTTCACACAGTGCACATTTTGCTACAATCAAAAACGTTTTCTACGCAACATTATTGGGGTTTATTGTTAGAGATGTTATTTATAGTTTTGTTTTAAATCAAAAGTAAGATTTATTTATAAATATAAAGTTTAGTCTGTAAATTAAATTCATTAATTATTTATAGGGTTACTTACGGTTTAGATGCAATTCAACATGGATTTGTTAAACTTCCGACAATGTTAATGATTTGGTGTATTTTGTTTGGATTAAACTTATTGACTTATTTCTCTTTCAAATTATGGAGTAATTTAAGAATGCAATTTTCCACTATACATTGCACAAGTTTAAATTGGAGAGTGCTAGCTTTGGATTGTACCTTTTTTGTAACATTTTTCTTGTACTTTATAGGTACTTTATGTCTGCTACCATTTGTTATAAGAAGCGTTACATTCGGGATGGCTGCTGCATCCGCTTTGTGTATGGAACAGGTACGCTAATTTAATTTTGAGAAAAGAAAAAATTGAAATGAAATGATTTTAGATTCGGTTGCTTATGAAATCTTATGCTTTTATACGAGTAAACGTGGCGAGCTTACTGAATCATAAAGAACATAGCGATCAAATATTATTCCGACCTACTTTCGAACATTATTTGTATTTTTCTTTCGCACCAACTCTTATTTATCGGCACGAATATCCGCGGTAAATATTTTAATATTACTTAATTTTGATGAAAATAACCTTGATTTTTTTTAGTACCACAACGATTAATTGGTTGTTTGTAATTAAATGTTTCTTTGACTTTTTTGCTTCCATTTGGATAGCAAGTTACATATTCGAAACATTTTTTCTTTATAGAATACATAATATTGATATAAGTAAAAATTTCTGGAATCAAGTTCTTCAAATTATTATGGATTCAGCATTACCTGGTTTAATTCAACTAGCAATGCTTTCCTTTATTTTCTTACATTGTTGGTTAAACGCTTTTGCAGAAATGTTACGATTTGGTGATAGACAATTCTACACAGTCAGTAATATATATTATCAATTAGAACTGAATATGAGTATCATTAATTTTATAGGATTGGTGGACCATAACAAACTTTACAGCGTACTTTCGAAAATGGAACGTAATTATTGGGGATTGGCTCCACGAATACGTCTACAAAGATTTCCGCGAAAACATAACGCCAAATTCAAAAAGTATATCACGTATCATGGTTTTCTTAATATCAGCCGTTTTTCATGAATATATCATGACAGTTATTACCCAACATTTTTTTCCTTTAATGTTTGTAATATTATTCCTTACTGGTATAGCACTTCCCTATCTCAACTTTAAACATCCAATCATTAACATTATTTTCCTTTATTGTACCGGAATAGCATGCGGAACACTTTTGATATTTTACACTGTTGAGTTTGTAGTTAACAGAAAGTGTTCGATAACTGAAACTGGTGTGATGAATTATTTGGTTCCTAAGATTTTTAGAAATGAATGTGTTTATGAAATTATGTTTAAATAAAACGTGGTTATAAATGTTTTTATTAGTTTGTTTGATGAAGGTGTGCTTTCATAAAAATGTAAGTAAAGAATAAGACAAAAGGCATTGAACAAGAACGGCGAAAGTATGATAGATTTCTGCGTCAATAGCTAATAACATTAATCTATGAAAGACTAAAAACACAGAACTTAAGAAACAAGAGATAGGAGAGAAGTATGAAGGAGAACTCAATGGAAGTTTACAAAACCTAGAACAGCAAGAAGTAGAGAAAGAAGACCACAACTGGAGCTTAATGATAGGTAGAATAAGTTCAGGGAAGCGATAATATTGGTAGAAACTAAAGTATGTGGAACAAAAACAATTAGGACATGTCAAATTAAAACAAGAACCAAATGGTGGGGTACACCAGTTGGTTATGTACACCATTTGGTGTCCTGTACCATTCTGTAAGGAAACTCCATTTGGGTGTTTCATGGAATGACAAAATATAAATAATAAGATAAAACAGAAAAATGAAGCTTGAAATAGTTTCTGAAGAAAAAGAACAGCAGCCGAGCAGGAGATTTAGTAATGGAGGATTTAGTAAAGGGAAGCCGTAAAAAGAGCAAAACTAAAAACTTGAAGGAATGAATTTGGAAGGAAGTTCAGGAAAAATTATAAGGAAAACGAGAAACAGTTCTGGAACATAATCAAGGAGCCGAAGGGGAAAGAGCAAAACAAATACGAAATATAACAAACCAAAATGGAGAGTTAAAAATGACATTTCAAAAGAAAACTAATCTTACCTAACATTCCTTCACGGTGTACATTACACAAGAAAACTGACCATACTTAACATTTCTTCACAATATACATAATTGACATGAAAGGAAACTAACCTTCTTTAACAATATTTCCTGAGATAATTAACATTTATAAATAAAAGTAGGCAATATGTTCAAGGGCATTATCCATTAAGTATTAAAATTTATTTTATCAGATAATCTTTTATCACCTGAAGAATCATATAAAGATGGTAAAAGAATGAATAAATGTGATTTTGATGTTTTTTCGGAGTGCTTCAAAGATACCAGAAAATAGAAAAAGCTAATTGATGTTTGTCAAAAAGTAAATAATAGTTTGTAAACACCTTCAGATTACTTTACATGAGCAAAATAAGTTAATAAAAAATGCAAATAATAGTTTGTAAACACCTTCAGATTACTTTACATGAGCAAAATAAGTTAATAACATTAAAAGAGATGTTTTCCAGAAAATTTGAAGGTTTTAAAATATGAAAATATGATATTCGTAGCTGATATGGATATAATAATAAAACAAGTCAAAGTCAAACAAGATCTTGATCTAGCACATCCAGACGATTTTGTACTAATGTCAAACAAAGTAGATAGTTATAGCAAAGAAGAAACAATCAAATAAGGAAAACTTACCTACAAGAGAAGGAAACTTTTATTTATGCCAGACCAAATTCTTATCTTGAGCAATTGGCACATCATGGCAAATAATAACATAAACTGAACCCACTTGCTGATAAATGTTATTGTTACCTCTATAGTAACTTTTGCTTGTGTACATTTGTTACAGTTGTCTATTTAAATTATCTTCAAAAACAGCCAACATAGTTTTCATCACTTGATAATTGTTGTAATGTTTGTAATTGTAATCAGCTAATAATTGCCATCTATAATTCAGTCACGCAAATGAGCAGTTGAGAACCACATGATAATAGACTAATCCTTATGAAAATAACAATTAAAATAATTATAGATGGCAATTATCAGCTCTCCCACTGCTTTTTAACAACGATTTATATTAAAATCCTGATGATGGGCTTATAATAGCCCGAAACGTCGATTAAACATGTTTGAGTAAACATAATTAATCCATGAGGAGTGTGTTATTCCTTGCAAAATTATCCTTATAATAAAAAAAAATCCTCGTAATTAAAATCATATGCAATTGATCAAAATTGTTTTCTTAAACTTAGAGATTATTGACTCTTATATTGATCAATACTTTTTTTAACACTGCATATAAAATGATTAAAAACTAGTACCGATCGGAAATAAAGTAACTATTGAAAAACCTGCATATCGCTGTGTTACATACAAAATCCGCAATAATGGAAACGAAATAAATTATACTACTAATTCAAGGTGCAAGTAAAACAAAAAAGACTATAATTTTGAGGTAAACACTAAATGAAGTGTTCAAATCTACATAACATAAAAGAATACTTTCCTGAGTACATGGTTAGTTTTTAGTATAATTTTGGGTTGCGATGATGCGTACAAATAGTAATCTAAAAGTTACAAAGAAAAATATTCTGTAAGTGTTCATATTTCGATTAATAACTTGTTACGAAACAATTTAATTTTTTCATTTTAGTAAAAGAAAAATATTTATGTTACGTGAATCTGTTTTAACAGAAAACCCCAATTTTGCAACAATTAAAAGTATTTTGTACTGTGTGTTATTGGGGTTCATACTAATAGATGTAACTGTTAGTTTTGTTTTAAAGCAAAAGTGAGTATTTTTAATGAATTTAAAATTTATTCTACAAATATGTTTTTTATAGGGTGACTTATGGTTTGTATTTACTTCAACATGGATTTGATAAATTTCCAATAACATTAATGGTGTGGTGTTTATTTTTTTGTTTTAACTTATTGACATACTTTTTTTACAATTTTTGGAGCAATTTAAGAATAAAATTTGCAGCTCTTTCAAAATTATTGGATTGGATATTTCTAGTAATATTTTTATCGTACATAGCAGGAATTTTATATTTAGTACCGTTTGTTGTTAAAAATATTAAAATGGGATTAGTTGCAGCTTTCGTTTTTTGTATAGAACAAGTAAGAAAAAATAGTTTTGGAGAAAAAATTATTACCTAACCAATTTTAGATACGATTATTAATGAAATCTTACGCGTTTATAAGAACAAATGTGCCAAATGTACTTAATTATCAACAACATACAGATAAAATGTTTTTTAGACCAACATTGAAACATTATTTATATTTTTGTTTTGCACCAACGCTTGTTTATAGACATGAATATCCACGGTAAATTTTCTCATTTTTTTCTTTATATATTTGATGATAAGAATATTTTAGCTATAACGTAATCCGTTGGACGTTTGTGACACAACATTTCTTTGAATTCGTGGCTTGTATTTGGACAGTCAGTTATGTGGCCGAAACAGTGTTTCTATACAAAATCCAGAATATTGATATAAGTGAAAATTTCTTTAGCCAAGTTTTTAAAATCATTATTGAAGGTGCCATAGCTGGTCTCATAGCAAAATTACTCCTTTTTTATGCGGTCTTACATTGCTGGTTAAATGCGTTTGCTGAAATGCTGCGTTTTGGAGAGAGACAATTTTATACTGTAAGTAAAATATAATTCATTTTTTGAACAGAATGATATGAATTTTCTTAATTATTTATTTTTATAGGATTGGTGGACTGCAACAAACTATAAAATATTTTTCCGAAAATGGAACATTGTTGTTTCTGATTGGTTGTACGAATACATCTATCAAGATTTTTTCGAGACCATCACACCCAACTCAAGAACCACACCAAAACTCATAGTTTTCTTAATATCGGCTATTTTCCATGAGTACATCGGCACAGTTTTTTCGCAACATTTTTTTCCGCTTTTGTTTTTAATATTTCTCATTTCCGGCTTAGCATTTACACATATCAACACCAAACATCGACTTTTTAATATTCCTTTTCTGTATTTTACCGGTTTAGGAGTCGCACTGCTCTCCACATTTTACGCTATTGAGTTTGTGGTTAATCAAAATTGTGCAATCAATAAAACCAATGTATTGTATAATTTAATTCCTAGGATATTGAGGAATGAGTGTGTAAATTTTATTTAAAAATTTTTTTTTATAATTATTTTACGTTTATTAAGAATCTTATAATAATCAGGTACAATATGACTCAATCAATACACTGACCACCAAATGAACAGGATTATCCAAAATGTGGCATCTTTTATATACACCTGTGTATAGTATCTCTACAAGTTTTTGCATATTTAAATCTTTATCAAATATGTTCTATAAAATTTTATAGATTATTGAAGCTGTTTTATTTTTATTTCATCCTAGAACTAAAAAACCAACATTCACTCATAATAAGTCTCCTGAACAGGTTCAAACGTTCATTTGAATAATGTTGCACAACTAGATTGGTACAACTTTAACTTATAATGTTTTCGGTTACTTTTTCTCTAATTTAGTAATTCTTAATACACATTATACTTATATACATCTGAAATCTTCTTAATTAAATTACTCACTAATAAATTACAAATACCATAAACATTAACCTAATCGCTAATTTGTATTATTAGTAGATGTTAAATGAATATAGCTCATTGTCGGGTTAGATTTTGAAAATGGAACTTGTGAGGTTCCCAAAAAATCACGATGGGAAGAATATTCCTTTGATTTATTTGCATCAGGATACATATTATCCAAAATATTGGAACCCTAAATAAATTATATTTTTATTCATTATAAAGCATTGTAAGTACAGGGTCCGGCACTGAAACTTTCTTTCTTCAAAGGTAAAAAATTAAAATATTCAGTTTATATTTTAAAACTTTTGTTACCGTTATGCACTAATTATTATGTCCACCTTTGTTGTCAATGTATTGTTGTAGCCGATTTCTGAAGTGCAAGTAGGCTCTCTCCTGCATAGCAACCGCTGTGGACTATTTCATGACTTCCAGAGTTGCAGGACGGTTGTTAAAATCTTTTGATTTGAGGCAACCCCATACAAAAATTATATGGGGCTAAATATGGCGAGCGAGCGGGCGACGAGGTATCAATTCTGTTGGAGATAAGTCGCCCTGGAAAATTTTCTGTCATATCTTGCTCACTCCATCTTGCTGAAACCATAGTCTGCCAGTAGCAAAATTTTCAAGGGCTGGCAGAAAAAAATTACCAAGCATGGCCACAAAACGCTCCGAATGTACTGTTATTGTGCGATTGTCCTCTTCGAAAAAAATATGGCCCTATGATATGACCCGATGCGAATGAAGAGGCCTCAAATGATGTTCCCTTGGATTGATGTTGTATATTTTGTTTAACACAACCTGAGATGTTGAAATGAGCCTCATCACTAAACCACACAACTGCGTCATCAGACAATCTCTCAAGGAGCGTTTTGCATCCCGTTTGTCGTGAAACCATATCATGTCCGAAAGTTGTTGTGCGATTACTATTTTGTATGTAAAAAAGTGTAGGTCATAATGAAGAATTAGACGAGTAGTATAAGCGAAGGTGCTCTAACGGTTCGTGCTGCTCCTAGTCTCTTGCAGGACACATTTCCAATTGCCCTAAAAGCTTCCGCCCACAATTAGATGGACCCTCCGGCAGGAACAGCACCTCAAGGGAGAATATTGTACCGTTTCTAACAATATTCGCCCACCAACAATTTTGGCTAAAAACACTATCCCGTCGCAACTAGCTCGTCTCATTGAACAAAGTAAGTTTCAATGCTAAACCCTGTATTTATAACCCTACCTTATTTATCTCAGGAAATATTGTACTCAAATTGAAATTGGTTAAACTAGATCCAACGCTGTTTAATGAAGGTGATATTTCCGGATGTGGTACCCCCGGTCTTGTAACCGGTGGTAAAGGCAACAAATTGTGGCTTAAATCCGATGTTGGTTTGGTGTACAAAGGGTTTTTACATGGATATAATTGGGTTGGTGTGGGTGGAGGTGGCAGAAAATTAGTATGCGAATGGAAATCGTCGGGAAGAATTGGAGAATTAATAGCTGCGGGCATTGGAAGAAAACTAAAATCGACTAAGCCAGGAAGAGTAGGTTCAACCGTTTTTTTCTTATTAGATTTTTTTGACGTTGATAATTGATTTAACGAACAACTATTGTTAGATTGAACGATTCTTTTTTCTTCTGCATTTTTGGATTTGTTAAATCTTTCTGGTGGGGGTTTTGGAACAACGTGCCCAAAAGTATTATCGATAATTCCAGCATTGTAATCAGTTGTATTACCAATATCAGGTAAATTAAAATTAGTTGGGACGAAAGAATTGTTTGAGTAAACGTTATTTTGAATTGTCGCTGTGAAATTATGTCCAAAAGTACTGGATTGATTTAGATTGTGTCCAAACGTTTGATTTTGAGGGAGTAAATTATTTTCTTGTTGGATATCAACTGGGGGGAAATACGGTAAAAGATTTTCGGCTAAAAACGGAACTGGTAAAGATTTATTTACAATCGGATTATAACTTGATTGTTGATTTCTTTGTCTAATATCGTTGTTTTGATGTCCAATTAAAGCTTCAGCTGAATAACTACTTGAAGGATTCTTAACGTTTCTATTTTTATTATTGTTATTATTACTCCCTAACGGATTCCATTCATTATTACCATTATTATTACTTTGATTCGAATTAAAATCGTTTGATTGACTTTGATGTTTAATTTTGGTTTCTCCGCTTGATAATTTATTATAACTTTGCACATCTTTTGTGTTATTTTCGTTTTTAGTGCTTCTTTTAGCAGATTTAGAATTCTTATTCGAATTATTTCTACTACCACTTCCACTACTTCGTCTATTCGGAATTCTATTAGAATTTCCATCGTTAGTTTTGGAATGATCAACCAATTGGCTAACAGACAGAAAATTCTGCGTCGAATCAAAACTATTTTGCAATTTATTTCTTTTAACATCTTTAGTTCTGCTTTTATCTTTTTGTTCTGGAAATAAAGGTTGATTTCCTAATGCTAAATCTCCTACTAAAGTTGGTAAAGTATTCGACATAAAACCATGAGGCGGATCGAGCATATGCGGCAATTTCGATGGTGACCAAGAAAATTGATTTTCTTCGTCCGTTCTTTGAAATGTATTAGGCATAGACGAGAAACTATCAATTTTTCGCGTTTCAGGAAAAGACGATGTAAATTCATTTGCTAAAGTATTTGTGTATGAATTATTATTAAAGTAACTACTTTGAGTTACGGAGGAAAATGAGGGATAAACCGTCCCTGGTGTAAAATCCATTTCTTTTGAAAATGGTATAAAATCCTGCGATTGTTGACGCACATCTGGAGTAGTCATCCAATTAACTGGAGGTCTTGTATTAGATGAACTCGTATTATTCGTATTGCTTGAAGGTTTGACACTTTTTTCTTTCATTTGTTGATTTGGTTGCGTATTATTATAACAATAAGGTTGATTGTATTGATTTCTAACAGGTTCGTAAGGTTTAGAAAACTCTTTATATTCGTAATTGTCATAATTAAAACTGTAATAATTTTTATCTTTTCCGCATTTAGAATTAGTTGCAGAAAAAGTAGTTGTATTTAAATTATCTCCATAACTGTACGAATAAGTATTTGTAGTATTCAACATATCATTGTAAGACTTTGAAGTAATCGATGATGTATAGGACGAAGATTTCGTTAATGGTAAATCCGTAAAAGGATTAAATGTATTATATTGACTAATGGTTGTAACAACTGGTAAAGAATAAGACGTCGTTGTAACCGTCACATAAGGAGCTGTCGTTATTGGTAATGAATAAGAAATTGTTGTTACAGGTGGTAAACAATAATTTGTAGTTGGATTTGTTAAAGAATAACTTGTAGTTGTTGCTGGATAGAAACAAGAATTTTTCTTATCCGATTTAAGTTTATCTTTTTCATTTGGAACAATAGAATTCGTTTGAGGAGCAGCTTCAGATGAAAAAAACGAATTGTTGTAAGAAAAATCATAATTTATATTTGGTGGGTAATTAACTGAAGAAGGCATAGTGTGAGAATTAGAAAATTTTTCATTCTTTTGAGTTCTTTCAACTTTTATAGATGAGATATTCGATATAGAATGAGTCGTTACACTTTTAGCAACTGAATAAACTTGAGATGATGAAGTTACTTTTGCAACCTCAAACTCTTGCTTTTTAGAAATTACTTTTGTGTTATTAATATTACCATTATTTTGTGGCAAATTACTTGAAATTGTTGTATTTATTGCTTTTCCATTAACACTCGAAGAAGACGAAGAAGTAGACATAATCGGGAGCGGATTACTTTGAATTGAAATTCCCGAAGATGAAATCTTATTTATCACCCCACTATTATTAGAATTTGTTGTTGTACAATTACTTTGAATACTAGAAATAGAAGTTTTTTTAACAATCGAGACTTGTGAACTTGAAGAAGTATTTATTGCATCGGAATTATTATTTAAACTAGTTATATTATCCGAATTATTTGTATTAATCATATCGAAACTCGGATAAAATTCTTTAGGGAAAAACGAAAAATTATCTAAATTTAATAAACTCGGTGTTAAAGTATCGCTTTGACTTTGAGTTGTTTTGGTCGAATCCATCGTTCCAATTTGAAGTAAGGTTGGGGTTTCTCTTTGACTTTCTGTCGCTTCATCTTCGATTACTTCAGTTACTTTTAATGAATTTAACGAAGAAACTAGAGGGAAAGCTAACAAAAACGCTGCAGTTGGTGAAGTTGATTCTGGATTTTGTCCACCAGTAGCTACGTGAGATAACGAAGCAAAAATATCATTTGAAAGCTCTGAGTGACCTAAAGGATCGTTTAATTCAGGTACTTTAAATTCAACGTCTTTTTGTGTTAGTGTGTCTTGAAGTGTTATTTCTGAGGGTTTCTCTAAAAGTGCTTGTTTTTCTAACATGTCAGGTTGCTTTTCTAAAATTTCAGATTGTTTGTCTAAAATTTCTGATTCTTTATCTAAAATTTCAGTTTCTTTAACTACAATTTCAGATTGTTTTTCTAAAATTTTAGATTGTTTTACTAAAATTTCAGATTTAGTTTCTGCAATATCAGGTTGTTTTTCTAAAACTTCACATTTTTGTCCTAAAATTTCAGGATGCTCTTCAATTCCACTTTCTTTTTGTTCAGAATGTAAAGAATCCACTGCAATATTGACAGCTTTTTTATGTTCATTTTTGTTTTCAGATAATTTTTCAGGTTCGATTTTTGGCGTTGTTAATAAATCTTGAGAACCATGTTCCTTTAAAATTGAAGTTGAAGTTAAAGTAGTTGTGCAAAGTGAAACGATTGAATACGTTAAAGTGGTAGGATTCTTTTTATTACCATCATCTTTTTCATCACTTAATTTAATTTTTTTCTCACTCGGTGGGGAAATATCTTCTTCGTGATTAATCAATTTTTTATTTTGTTCAACATCCGTTTCATTTAAACGATTTTTTTGATTCTTTTTAATTTCACCCTTTTTTTCATTATTATTTTTATTTTTCAATACTACATTTTGTTTAATTACAACCTTTTGTGGTCCCCTATATTTACTTTCTTCCTTTTTTTTACTTAAATAAGTTTTAACGCCGCTCACCACATTCGTATTCAAATTAATCGATCTCAACAAACACTTTTTATAATCAGCACTTAACGCTGGAATTGGAACTTTATTAGCCTGAGTTGTACAAGTATGAGCTTTGGGTCGTAAGGGTAGCAAAGTTTTCGTCGTCGTAATTTTTGGTAAACTCACCAAAGACGATGAAACACTTTGATTATTTTTATTAGAAGCGGTTTTTACGTTTAAACACGTAGGCGTTCCATTAACTGTAACTAAAGTAGTGTTAGACACAGGAACTTTTTGAGTACGGTCGATTTTAATTGGAACGGTATTACTATTTGTGACGGTTGTATTAACGAGAATGGAACTGGTTAAAATTGTAGGAACTATATTTTCGGCACGTGGCAACGGCGTATTTACAATTACAGGATTTGTTGCTAAAATTGGAGTTGGAACTAATGCCGGTTGATGAATAAATGTAGGTAAAAGGTTGTTATTGGCTACAAATACTGTGCCCGTTGGTCTTATATTTGAGGCTACTAATGGTGTTGATAATATTCTTGAATCTGTTAATACTAAAATAAAATAAATAAATTAGTACCTAAGTCTATGATACTTATTAATACATTAAAAAACATAAATTACAGAAATCGTTTCTAAAAAACGGTCTGGAAAAACATATCCAGAGCTCAATGCAGTGGACATTAAAAGTGAATTATTTGCTGAGGACGCTTCAGAATTGTTTATTCAACCTATTAAAAGACGATTCATTAAGGCAAACTTGCTTGGACAAATTTCACGGAAGTAAGCCTTTTGTAAAAAATAAGTACCGTAAAAGAAGCTTGTGTTTGCGCGGAAACAATTAATTTAGACTTTTTTTAGAGTGGAAAAGGATTTTGTTTTCGTCGATTCAACAATCAACCGATTAGGTTCCAACAGAAAAAATAATGATACGATGTTTTCCACAACATAAACATTTAAAATTGTTTTTTTATAGAAAGGCGTCGGCTCACTGAGACTCATTAATGAAATATTTAACCAACATTAACACAAAGAAATTTTATTTTACTAGAAACCATGCTTTCTTTTTAATGAACTATAAATCAAAATAGCGATTTATAGTTCATCGAGAATAGGCAGAAGTTTTAATTTTTGCCAAGCAAAAGCGAATAACAGTTTAAACTAAGACAGCTTTAACCATAGAACACAAACCATGTATATAGAAAAGGAAAATGTCAAAACATGACTTTCCAAGGTCAGTAGCCCCTCTGCTGCTACCTAACATACCATCAATGTACTGCATAAGATTTCAATACGACTGTTTCTGGAAGTGCAACGCTCCTCACATTACCAGAAGGTTTTTTAATTAGTGGTGAGTAAATTTTATGTGTCGACCATATGAATTGTAGCTGAAAGACATAGCATGTATAAATTCTTATGTAATCTTTATACACATTTGCTACAAAGAGAGCAAGAAGCCATTGTCTGTACTTGACTACATGTTGTCCCTCCATCAGCAGCTCTCTCATGATTGACAGCTACACAGATTACGATTATTTAAAGCAGCTATTACAACCCCAGTTTTCATGTTACTTTGATGATACTATATAATGCAGCGCGTCGTCCACAACTAACCTTGGCTAAATTTATAATAGAGCTGATGTCGCTTGCGGATGAGGCTCCGCATTATATGTTATAACTTAGGTTGCACACACTATTAGTTTAATTTTAAAAAGAAATGGACGGTTTTGTTTTATTAAGCCGAGATCGCTTGCGGCCGAGGCCTCAGTTTTCATGCCACTTTGATGATACAATATAAAGCAGCGTCTCGTCCGCAACCAACCTCGGCTAAATTTATAACAGAGCCGAGGTCGCTTGCGGATGAGTCGCTGCATTAAATGGTATTCAATTTTGTATCATCGAAAAAGCATAAAATACTGCGGCCTCGGCCGCAAGCGACGTCGGCTTAATTAAATAAAACCAACCATTTTCTATTACAAGTTAAACGAACAGCGCGTGCAACCCAAGTTATAACACATAACGCGGAGCCTCGCCCGCAAGCTATATCGGCTCTATTATAAATTTGTATCATCAAGTGGCATGAAAACTAGGGCCTTGGTTGCAAGCGATCTCGGTTTAATGAAATGAAACTATCCATTTTCTGTTCTAAGTTAAACGTACAACAAGTGCAACCCAAGTTATAACACTCAATACGGAGCCTCAAGTTAAGCACAAAAGACCACCACTTTCTGCAGAAGTTAAAAAGCTATGGATTTATTGCAACGTTGTTTATGAGCAAACATCCAGAGTAGCAAAGAAAGTCTGAATTCGCTCATTTGGACGTTTTCGAAATTAGAAAAGGTTGGAATGTTCTGAACAGTGAGCATTAAATGCTACTAAACAGGCCAAAATAGAAAAAAAATAAATTATATGCACAAGGCTAGGCTTTCTATGAAGAAGAAGGACTTAAATTCAATTTTAGTACTTCAATTTTAAACGCTTTCCCAGAAAAATTGTTTTTCACAAAATAGTTCATGATTACACAAAAACTAATGGACCGATTTTTTTGGTTCGTGGCTTATTTTGTTCGTAAATAGATTCTCTATAGCCGGAACTGGAATTATTTCAATCCGCTAAAATTTACGATTTTTTTTAGTCTGTAAAAGTAAAAAAAAAAAATGTGAAGCACATTTTAATTTTTAACAAGCTGCCATATTTGTTGCATTAATTTTTTATCAAAGATTTTAGTTCAGACTAAAATCACATCAATAATTCAAATAAATTTGGTTTTTTCCTTTCATTGCATTGGAAGAGCTAAAGAGGAGCTATTGTGTGAATGACGCAGCAACATATTTTTTACAGCCCATTGGAAATCTTTTAATAATTTATTAAAAACGTTGTTTCTATTTGAAATATTTTTGAATGTTATATCAGATATGAATAAAAAATATAAAATTCGTGAAAATTATCGATTTTTGACTCTCTGAAGCATCTTTGGTTAGCAATAGAATGTATTTTATGCCATTGTCCATCAGTTGTATCAAATTCTTAACATTTGAGACACTGTTTATATAAACAAAACCTTATATGGTGTATACTGGGCAAGGTCATAACACTTCTTTGCATCCTTGGACTATAAGTGAATGTCAATATCTTATTGGTTGTTATAGTTTAAAGCCCCCCTGATATGTAAACTTGTAAGTTTAAATTGTATTGACTTCACAAATTGTGACAAATATTAAATAAAATTATCTAAATTCAATCCAACCTAAATAAATATTTACCTGTTGTTGTTTTGGTAACACCAGTTTGTGATGCTTTTGGTGTATTAGTAATTATAAAACATGATTGTGTTGTGACTAGACTTAACAAATTACTTTGCGCAATGTTTAACCTAAAAGCTGATTGTACAAGCTTTTTATGTTCCTTCCGTTTTACTCTAGCTTTTTGGACCGATTTTAAACTGCTGTTTTTCTTTTTTAACTTATCGCTTCTTTTCTCTTTGATCGTATTACTATGGTTATTTTCCTCTAAAAAGAAAATATTAATTCATGAATCAAAATCTTTTTATAACATACTTTGGGCTTCTTTGTCTGCCAAAGCTTTCGCTTGATCTTGTGTAATTTTGTTCGCCCATTTTTTGGGTGTCTTAAACTTAACAAGGCCGCATTCTGATGGATATCTAATTCCAGCATCTTTAAGAAGATTACAAAGTTGTTCATTACGAATTAATAATTTTTTTATTTGATCACGTAGTTTTTTAATTTTCTCACCTATTAGATAAAAAAATTGGTTTGAAATCAACAATTAAAAGTAAAATAAATTTTTTTATTAAAGCATTCTTACACGTTGCTTTCGGAGCATTATTAGCCAACAAATCTTTAACTTGAGTATCAAGTTCATCGATGTAACCAGCAGCTTTTTGTAGGATTTCGATTTTGCTGATGTTCAATGACGGTTGATAACATGGTAACTTTTTGCTAAGTTCCGAAAAGGAATTATTCAATCGATTCCTCCTATCTTTCTCCCATTCACGACATTTACTACAAAAATAAATAAATAAGTTGATTTTGTATAGGTTGTTTTGAAGGTTATTTTTGAGGTTAGGAGCAGTAACCTTGCTTGTCTTGGCATATCTCGGCGGTAATTTCACATCTTTATTCATTTTTCGTACTTGAAATCTTGAAATGCTGTTTATTTTATAATTTTTACTTCAAATATACCATTTAAAAATAAGTTTTTAAAGTTTTAAAAATACCCAAATAACAAGAAATTATAGTACCAACGGTATATTTGTAATAAACCTAAAAATAACTAAATTGTAAATAAAGTTTTAATCATTTATTTGTACAACATTGTATGAAGAAAAATACGATTTATACATTTTTAAGACTATCAAGTATATAATAAGATGTGTAGGATACCTAAAGAAGAAATTAAATGATTTTAATTGAAATTGTCGTTGCGTGTTGGCACTAATGGTATACATGAATGTTGGCGCGAAATCGAATTTATTTGAAATCTATTTTTAATATAATAATAAAAATTGTATTTCTTTATTTAGTTTATTTAAAAAAAGAAATAAATCGGTATAGAATAAAGTGCTTTAGAAATTACAAGAGTTACTACTTGTTCTTGAACGTTCAAGTGGGCTCTCATTTATTTGCAATTGTGCTTGAGATTTTCGTGTAATTCGAAACGATTCCTTTTCATCATTGGATAAATTACTCCAAGCTAAAGCTACGTATGACAAAAAACCTCTTCCTTTTACATTGTTGTTGTCGCTGAAGTACTTGATAAAATTTATGTAGGGATTCTTACTTTTTCGTGAACGTCTTCTTCGTTTCTTATTTTCACCCATTCCTCTTCACCCAAAGTATAAAATATGTATAATATATGATAGATACAAGTATAAGAAGAGATATTAATAAATATGTAAGTGCAATATGATGTAACAACTGAAAATGTCAATAAATAACAATAAAGTTGACTAGATAAAAAATGTGTTAAACATACAATTTAAATGATGTACAAACAATATAACTGCAGTATTAAAATGATTCTAGATAATTTCAAAATAGTAAGGTGTGCTTTAAAGTTAAACATTGTAAAATCCTTAAACAGAAATAATAAAAATTTTAATGTTCATTTCGTGAATAAGCAAAGAAAAACACCGATAAGTTTTAGTATTATCTGATAATCAAAAAGTATTTAAAGATGTTGTTGGAAAAAATATTTAATTATTGAAAATGTCTCAATTACGATTCTTCACCTTTTTGTGCTTTGCAAGTGCTATCTTGGTATTACAAGTAAACTCATGTAAGTAATATTAATCTCTAATTACACAAGTATACATGGTTTTGGAGCTGAGGAACCAAATATTATTTCTAAGGTAATTAGGGACACTGAATCAGAATCTACAATCCGTTCTTTAAGATCTTTTCTAGTTTTTGAGATATTTAATGAATTAATTTATACAATTTTTGGTAATTAAATGTAAATCCGGACCTTCACGATTGAGCACTTTGACGAAGTTCTTAATTAGCTCATGTTTGATGTGAAGAGGTAGCAGAAGTATATCCTGTGGATTTACAAAGGGTACAGTGGAGACGTTTTGTTTTCCTGGCTCATAACAAACAACTTTGCCAATTTTCTCTAACAAGCAGTAAAATTTCGGGAATCCAGATTACATACCAATCAAGAGTCCAATCACTTTAGCCACTTTCACATCTTTTAATTACCACAAATTTATCATTGATTCTCATTGTATCTGATATTGAACAAAGATTGCACGCATTGTGTCCTACAATTCATTCGTTTGTACTGCATGAACAACTAGAATGGATGATTTTTTATTTCCAATGCAGCAGAGCAGCCTTTAGACTGTATTTTGAACCGTAAATGAATAAACGCCATTCCGTTCAATCATACAGTGTATTCATAGCATCAAATAAGCCGTTAATGTCATCGCCAAAATACAGGTTCCCTTCTTTCTTGAAGAATTGTTGAAGTACTACATTTCTTTTCCTGTATACAGTGACTAGTGTTTCACTGTCAAGATATTTCCACTCGTGCACCGTGATGCAAGCAACTCATCATCACCGATCAAATTACTTAGTTCACATTGCGGAATTAAATGGTTTCCATGACAAAATCACGACGATCTTTGCTGGCCATTTTCTCTTACACCTGGACAAACTGGCAATGGCTTGGGCTGCTTACATCATTGTTGAACCCTTAAATATTGTTATTAACAAATGATTTCAACAGTTCATTTTCCCTAATGAGCTGAAAATTGCGAGAATATCTCCCATATACAAGAAAGGTGATGTAAATGATCCTAACAATTTTCTGCCAATAGCTATCTTACCAATAATGTCAAAACTTGAAATCGCGTCTTCTTGACTATTTGTACAAGGAAGATGTTTTCAGTAATTTATATATGCTGCAATATACCGACGATGCTGCACTAATAGCGCATGGGAAGAAACTTGAAACAGCCATAGTAACATTACAAGAAGCAGCTAACAAAAAAACTAAATGGTGCTCTTCCTGGAGAATTAACATAAACGTTTCAAAAACATTTTCTAAGACCATTCCATAGGATAACAGATAATTCTCCAACAGTATACATCAGACAGACGCAAGTCCTTCAGCGAACATCAAATACCTGGGTATAATCTTTGACAGCAAAGTGAAGTTCCACATACACACAAAAAGGCTAAAATGAAAGCAATCACCAGAGCAAAGCTGTTTGGAAGTTTAACCTATAAGAAAGAAGGCATTAACATCAAATGCGCTGCGCATATTTATAAGACTATTTGTAGACCAATTTTAGAGTATGTAAGCCTATTGACCTATGATAGCAAGCGATGCACACTAAGGAGTTTGGAAGTTGGAGAAGGAACAAGTCTCCGAGTAACGAAAATGAGACACCCGAACAATCCATTGCACAACATCGCAAATAAAACGCTATATGGAAAAACCGAAATAAAGCCTTTGGCGCGACTTCTAATTTTAGCAAACAAATCTAAGAGTAAGATGGCTGAAGCAATGTCACCCCTATTTATACAATCAGAATTCGACACTATTTACAATAGGATTGTGACAGGATAACAATATGTGGCTGATAAAATTTTAATTATTGAGATGGGGCGGAAGGACTTTGGTCGATAGCCCTTTTTAGACTTAATATAGAATGTACATTATGTTGTTGTTTATGTTATATATTGTTTTTAATTGTCTAAAATAAATCCATTGCCTGTAATAGCAAATACGCTAATTTGCTATTATTTTACCACTTTTACCAAGCATGTAACTTCCGCAAACGTAACTAAAACATTTATCAATCCACTTTGCAAAGCTGTATCTCAACTTAAACTCAAAAATCATTGCACCCTAAATGTTTTTTTTGAACATTTTATAAAATTATCACAGTTTTTTCCAAATTCCTCTTTACTTTCTAGCAAAGTGTAGATTTAAAACAATTTAAAAAACTCAAAATCCAGAATCAATCTTAACAAACGGATTGATGATTCAGATTCAGCGCATCAAATTACGTTGAGGAATTTGTAAACTTGTGTTATTCTACAGTTTTTTTTGTAAATTTTAATTTTTTCTAATAAATACTTTTTATAGTAAAATTTATGAATCTTGGAAGATGTAAAAAAGGAGAAGTTTACGAAAATTGCCCCAAAATATGTCGACCAACCTGCAAATATGGAACCTACGCGAATTCAACTGCGATATGTGCTGAAACACATGAGTGTATACCAAGTTGTATTTGCAAATTAGGGTATATTTTAGATCCGCAATCGAAAGAATGTTGGTCTTTAGTTTATTGTTGGTTTAAACAGGGAAGGATTAGAATGAATCAGATTTTTGGTAACAAATAAGTTTACAATAACATTTTTAATCTTGTATATGTATTTTATTGAAATAAATTTTTATTTTTAATTTATTTTTATATTATTTAATTAATTTTTAATTAATTTTAACAATTCTGTACAAATAAAACGTAAATAATAAATTTCTCTAGAGACCCCTAGCTTTTGTATCAAGTGAAAACGGTAAAAGTTGCTTGAAAACACTTAAGCCTTCCTCAGTGGAAAAGTTTTGAGCTCGCAAAGTAATAGGAAAAATAGGGTAATTGGGTTCTTATACGCACTCGTATTTGCTGTGTTCAAGTAAAAGTGGAATCCATTAAAAATGATGGAGAAAGTTCATAATTTTCTTTTGTATTTCCATTATGTTATCAAATATTATATTAAATGTTATCGAATTTAAAGTATTTAAATAAAGATATTTTTCATTAATGTGTCATGTTTTTTAACTAAAATGTATTTAAAATTAGGGATACATTTTCGATTTTTATTTAAATAGAATTTGTTCTTCTTTATCAATTTGTAGAGTTGGAGAGTTTTTGAAGAGTTGAATGGGAATACATAACCACACTTTTAAAATATGTATAAGTTCAAAGTGAATGAAAATAATTAACCTTTGAGTAGCTGATAGACTAGCTGTTAGATTAATTTATTAAATGGGGAATGTGAGTAGAGATGCCAGCTTTGATAATCATCTCACTCGGAGGCATTGATAAGATGCGCAGATAAGATCCATTGGCAACATAATATTACAATCTCTCTATGAAACAGAATATACTTTCTCATTTTTGAAACTTATATTTGCTGTTACATTTCTATAAATCATGGAACCTCTATAAAATCCTGTTTATTTAAATCACGACAAATTTTCGGTGTTTATAGGAGTACATTCCTTACTGTAGTCTTTCAAAATCACTAGATCTCACCGTGCTGCTGGATTAGTCAAGCTTTAGGGCGGGAACACAAGGAATGCAGAGAAAGATAATACTGGGTACTACTTAGGCGATTACGTTTTTGACTTAAAAGATTTAATGAAGTATTATATTATATGAAAAGTGGATTTTCTTTTAATATTTAAAATTTACATAATTTTAAACCACTATATAAGTTCTCGTCAATATGTCAACGCGCAAAAAGAAAATAAATCGAAAGTCGTGATGAATAAGTAAAACCGGTCCCAATCCGTCCATAAACTGACGTGAAAATTGATTACAGTGGTTATAAAGTATACAAGGTGAGTCAATATTCACCCCGCAGTTCTCGGATGTGTGTTCTACCACTAAAAATAAAAACAACAAAAATACAAAAGTCCCCAAAGAGAAGTCGTTTTATAATAAAATTACAAAGAACTTGTGTTTCAGCAATTTGTATGAAAAAATGTAATTAATTTGGGTATACAAAAAATTATGGTTCGATACGGGATGTATTGCTCCAAAACGTGCTTTATACATAACGATCGACCTCGAAAACTTACATGGAAACTGGAAGAACATTAATTGTACAATTTTGAGAATAATTGAGCCACAAGCACACGTTTGTTTTGAAGAATTTTAATGAAGAACGTAATGTGCTATACAAACCAAAATGAATAGTGCGGCTACTCCAAAATATTACAAAACATAATTATTGTGCACTGTGCCAGATTCTGAAGCATGGATCTACGCATAAACCATGGTTTTCTGGACATATCGGGCAGTTGTATCTGGACTTCTTGTAACCTCCACATCTGCTATACTGGTGACATCTCTTCATCGCGGATTTGTCTTTCTGTGGGAACTGTCTTCAGATAAAGGAATTCTGATTGTTGGTCTGTGGTTGGGCTAGTATATCCTTCATTGACATGTAGCATAGCCTTTATAACTTCTTCTCTGAACCTCACGAGGTCAATTTTGGTTATAACTCTTCTATTCCACATTGCAATATTTATAAGATGACAGAACACCTTCCTGTACCATAATCATATGATTAGCGACACTGCGCAGATCTGCTCAACATTTTCAAAGTTTTGCACAACATCTCTTGAGGAGAAGGTAGAGTTGATTTATGGCCCGATGAGGGATGTATCTTGCACCGTTGGTAGCTCTGTACCCAATAGCATATTTTTGTATACTATATCCTCCGCAGAAATTCTAGCGGTCATCAAGCGCTTAAAAAACGTACGCTCGACGGGTTGCGATGGCATCGGTGTGAGTGTAATTAAGTATGTAGCGTCTTGTCTGGTCGAGCCCCTTAAGCATGCATTTAATTTTTCTGTTTGTTCTGGAATCTTTCCCGGGGCGCTGAAAATTTCTCGGGTCATTCCAGTTTTCAAGGCTGGTGATCCTACAAATGTCAATAATTTCAGACCAATAGCGATAACTAGCGTTTTTTCAAAGATATTTGAAAGCATCGTCTCGGAACGAATTTTGAGTTTTCTGGACAGGTTCAATGTTGTTAGTAATGCTCAGCATGGTTTTAGGCGGGGCCTGCCTACAGAGACTGCGTCATTGAATTTTATTGAGTTCATCTACGATAACCTGGATAAAGGTAATTTTGCTGTGGGTCTGTTCTTCGACATGTCGCGTGCGTTTGATTCGCTGCCACTAGTGTACATCATGCAGAAATTGTATGCTTTGGGTTTGCGAGGCACGATTTTAAATTGGCTTCAATCATTTCTGGAGGAACGAAAAATAAAAGTGGTCCTCTCTGGTCAGGAGTCATCGGAATCAAATGTTTTACTGGGAGTTCCCCAGGGCTCAATCTTGGGCCCATTAATTTTTCTATTGTATATAAATGACCTTCCTGAGTATCTTTCCGATGTCCACATAGTCATGTATGCCGATGACACGTCAATTGCCCTGGCGTCGAATGATGCTGATATGCTTTTTTCTAAAGTCAAGCATACCGTTGAATCATTTGATGCTTGGTACAAACAAAATCGTATTGTTCTTAATCTAAAAAAGACCGTGTTTGTAAATTTTCATAAGAGGAGGAGGCTTCCGCAAGCCGATGATATCATTCTATCAAATAGCTGCAAGTTTTTGGGTGTTTATCTAGACGAGCAGCTAAGTTTTGACAAACATGTTGATCATCTGGTTTCGAAATTGAACTCGTCCTTCTATGCAATTCTGAAGTTGAAGGGATGCCTCCCGCTATCGGGATTATTAGATGCGTATTATGCTCTCTGTTATTCGCATCTCTCATACAATATATTATTGTGGGGAAGATCGACGGAGTGGCGGCGTGCCTTTGTAGCACAGAAGCGCATTATAAGATTAATCTTCGACCTAAACTGCAGAGATTCGTGTGGAGATACATTCAAGGCCAATTCGCTTCTTACTCTTCAAAGTATATATATATATATATATATATATAAATCAGTTGTTCATGTGCGGGAGCATGTCGATAGATACCCTGTCATGAAACACAATTACGAAACTAGCTCTGATAGTTTGGTGTGCTTGGGTCATCATAAGACGGCTTTCTTTGAAAAGAGTCCACGGTATGATTTCCCAAAGCTCTATAATAATTTGCCATCTGCAATTAAAAAAGCTGCTACGCTTAGCTCATTTAAACATAAAGTAAAAATGATGCTTGTAGAAAGGGCGTTTTACGACCGCCAGGAATACTTGTCATTTAATTTTAGTATTAGTCCTAGTCAACTAGCATAGGTCATACTTCATAATTTAATTTCTCTCTTTCTTTGTTGAATATTGTGTATGTTGTGCATTATATATTATATGTGGTTTGAACTTGTCATATCTACTATTTGTAGCCAGGTGATTAAATAAATTATTATATTATGGCTTTCCTTGGCGATGAATAGTATCCCATCATCTGGTCTGATCTGTCTATCCCGGACATGTACTTATTGTAGGCGAGAACACACTCTGGTTTTATTACTTGTTTTTCTTTTCTATTCGTTCCTTCTAACATTCGGTGTTTATGAATTGTTGATATCATACTCACCAATCTCTTGTCCTTCCGGTGTGTTACTAACACTGGATCTTTTCTTTCCCATACAGCTTCTCCTTTCTTAATTTTTTCTTGAAATAATTGTTTCGAATTTCCCTTTCTAAATTTTTGCAAAGTTCCTACAAGTTTCGTCTTCCTTTTGAACAAATATTTTGCTAGCCGGACACTACTGTAATAACTATCAAGGTATATTTCACGCTTTTTATCCAAATAGTCTTTTAGTAGCTCTGTTACGACTGAAAACGTATGGGAATGCTCTTGATCATTGTCTATTGTAGTGTCTTTTCAAGTATAGACAAGTACATATATTCAAAACAGAACCATCAAATGTGGTAAGCTCATACAGCTTTATTCCGTACTTATGCCTCTTGTTCATAGATTCGTTTATAGAAAGTTATTTTATTGGAGAAACCAACTGTTGAATGTTTTGAATAATTTTTTCTAGAATAGTTCGTATTTTATATAAACGGTCGTTCGTATCTACATCGCGATGATTTACAAATCGTAAAAATCTCATTCATTTTCTGAAAACCGGGTAAAAGTAAAGGGAATTTGTACTCCATTGCTTAGTCCAGAGCTGGTGATAAGTCAGCCAAACTCGCTAAATGTGTAGGTTTAAAACCTACTCCGTCCAGTAGACTGGACGCTGGTAGCGAATGTGTTAACACGTATTCGTAGGTTTATTCACAATCATATATCATACTGCAGGACTACAAGAATGTCTTTGTTTTGTGAAAATCTCTTCGTAAATGAATCTCTCCTTGGCAAGGTATTATCCATTGTTAGTTCTATATCAGCACCTCGTAGGTAAGGTGTGTTAAGTCACATTCTTTTCGAAATGAGTTATCTCCACCATGTGTATTTGTTTAAACATTAACTCATTAACTACCAACTTTTTTAAATTCCCAAATGGAGATCGTAGCAGCTAATGAGTTAAGGCCACTTTCAAATCTTTCTCCTTAACAATTTGGAGTTTGTGACTTAACATACCTTACCTCTGAGGTGCTATATTTATCTACTTCGGAGCGCTACTTGTTCAACTCAGATAGTTGCTCCAAACTTCGCTTCTCTGGTATAACTTATATCTGGGTTACACCAAGGCGTTAAAAATTTGATCTC